GTTACTGTGATATTTTTCTTTGTTTCGTGTATTCTTAAATTAATAAATAATAAGATAGCTACCCACAATCCAACAAATGAGAGAAATCCATGCTGTTGAATTGACAAATGATTTATGTAAATGAAATATGTAACTGTTCACTATACATTTAAAATAACGTCTCCACTTAAAGTAATGCAAACGAATTTGCATTCACCGCAGTGGAACAATTTGCATACGAAGAAACGACATGAGCGGGATTCCACAGGACCTTACATTTAGAATCGAGCAGTTTTTCTGTCACCAGCCGAGCAGTTTTTATACCAATTCCCGATTCTGATATCTGGTTTATTGTTTTTCGACGGTCGGTAGGCAGTATTCAAATTGGCTCCACGTAATTATTCAGAGTGCCCTAAGGCCTTTGCCCCGAAATGGATTATAAATAGCTCATTATACGGAACCCTCGGAATGGTTACGTTTTTGTTGCGTCAGAAGCGGCTCGACAAATGATTGATTCTCAGAACTACTGCTTACTGCAGCGGCCGTGAGCCGGTTGACCCCTGGCTATAAGTGAAATTGTTTCCTCCTGGATCAAGAGGAACTCATTTCTGTGTCTTTTCATTAAGTAGAAAGTTTATCAGACTTCTGTAGCCCGATTGAAGTAATCTATTGTTTACCAGCCGAACCTATGACCTATGGTTCTTAGCGCAATGCTAGGCGTTTAAACTCGAAAGCTGTAGGGCAGTCAGTATGCCTATATTATGATAAGTAATATAAATAAATTTTCGTCCATTATAACATATACAGAGTAGGTACATTTCTTCGTATCGCATTATTCTAACAACATCTAGATATAATATGATCGCAGGTGGTAGTAAATTGTAGGGTCCATCAAAAATGCCCTTGAGTGGCAATTTTCTGTAATGATGTAGTCGGGAGTTGCGCCCGCGCCGAATAAATGTTTTGTTCGCGATGATTGATGACTCGCTCAGTGCTACTGTGGACCTTCGTAAACAGCAAGTTAGTTTCCAATATTAACAAAGAAAACATTTTTTGTATACTAACAACTTATTTTTTATTTAAATGTGCACAACTCGCGTAAATTACAGACAATATTTAACTTAGGTATATTTAGTTGTTACGTTTGAAATAAAAAACAAAAGTAGTGCTCAAATCCTCAAAAAATAATAAATATGAACAATAATATATGATTAATGGAATTAGTAATATTATTATGCTACCAAGTGTACATGTATATTTTTTTATTCTATAGCTTAGAAAATTTTCATAGCAATAAAAACAAGAATAAACCACCCCCTGGGGATAACAGCGAACACATTTCTGTGTCCGGTTTACAGACAAGTAGTAGTCACAAAGTCCCATGCGTTTAACGCAAGGCAAAATTTAGCTACAGAGTCAGTATGTATAACTAAAGAATTAATTATTTTTTTATCATAAATCATGAAAAATCTCAATCTAAGCAAAGGAGGAACGTAATCTATGAAATCACAAATCCATGCCGGCACTATAGCGTCGTAATCTAAAAACCGAAAGTGCTGAAGTAAACGACGCAAAAACCGTATTTGGTTTCGGAATGTGGTTCTACAGTGCGGGGACCACTAATTATCCGAGCCTCGCAAATTGCTGCCACCGTACGTTGCTCGCTGGCTGCTTTTTATCACTTCTTGTTCCACTGTTCGTGCTGTTAAAATTTCATCAACGTTTCATTGTGCGTTCGGTTGAACAGCACACGAAATACGGTTTGTTGAATCGTGTTAAAACGGCCAGACAAGAACAAAAAATTGAGATAGATTTCAATTTTTATATCAAACAAGCTGTGCCCGCGACTTCGCCCGCCTGGAATAGTGACTTGGGGTAGTATTTTTTATTATATAGGCTGTTTATTAATTTATGCGTATTTATGCCAACCTATGTTGTAAATGCTACTTTGCTGCAACAATCTCACATCACTCCTACTCTAACTCCCACTCTCAATCCCACACCCACTCCTACTTCCAAAAAGCCAAAGAAAAAAGTTTCATTTTTCTAGCTTCAAAAACCACGAATTTCCATACAAAATTTCCTACTCTTTTTCTAGCCCTATCAACACTTTTTTGGCATTAAAAATAAAAATCTAAAATATCTGTGTACTAAATTTCATTTAAATCGGTTTAGTAGTTTCGGAGTTAAAACGGGACAGACAGACAGAAGAGTACTTTCGCAATTATAATATTAGTATAGATTAACTAACCTGTTCGTTTGCCATATAATGTATTTTGACAAAATTAGATTAGCATAAGTTTATTTCTTGTGAGTTTACCTTAAAACTAGCTGTGTCGGTGACATCGTCCGCAGTTATTTTGGGCTTAACATGCGAATCATTAATTTAAGTATTTTAAGTCGGGGGAGCTCTCCTACATATACTAATTAACAGGAATCATTCTGTTTCACATTTTGGGTATCTAACATTTTTGGGTGTCTTGAACAGAACGGAAACAAACCCACAAATATGAATAATTTTCCACGTTAAATACTTCTTCGAATTTTTAGGGGGGGAAAAAAAAAAAAAAATAAAAAAAATTTTTCGGCCCCCGGGTTTGGGGTGCTTTGCCGCAGCCTTGTTTACGGAAGTAAAAAAAAAAAAAAAAAAAAAAAAAAAATTTTGGCCCGGGGTTGCGGGTTTTTTTGAGCCGCCGTGGTCACGCGGAGACGTCTCCCATCGTCTCCCTTTCCCCGAGTCTCCCCGTGACCACGGCAAAAAAGCTGCTGCAAAGCATCCGAAACGTCGGGCCGAAGTTAACAATCATGTCCAAATAAGTTTAACTAATATATCGGGGGCGTTTTAAACCGTTAAAGTGTTTTAACTTTTTAGTTTTTTGCACATTTCCCACTGTTTCTTCGCTAAGCTACGCCTAAAGCCGTCCTCCGTAAATGGTAAAAAAAGAATATTTTTTCAATTCGACCAACAGTTTTTGTGATTAGCACGATTAAACAAACAAACTAATTATATAGTATAGACATGTGCCTTCTCAGTGAGTTATAACTTATAGAGTAGACCCGAGCCGGATTTGAGCTTCGTTTCCTGTACATTGTCTTTCACCCTTCGATACGATTCGTTAGAGGAACACTCCTTTATAAATTGCACTTTAATTGTACAACTATACGGTCAATTAACTTAAAATATTTTTGAATAGATGTAGTCTAATCTACAGGTAAGTTAATAGAAGCGTTTAACATCTCTTTGTAATAGTCTTAATGCTGTCTATAGTTTACGCGAGTGGTACACATTTAAATAAAACACTTTAACGGTTTAAAACGCGATATATTAGTTAAACTAATTTGATAATGATTTTTAACTTCGGCCCGACGTTTCGGATGCTTTGCAGCAGCCGTGGTCACGGGGAGACTGTCTCCCTGTTTTAAACCGTTAAAGTGTTTTATTTAAATAGTCTCAGTGGTCAAATAGAAATATAGGATGTATAATAATCGATAATTATATAGGATTAGATGGACCATCAAGTCAACAATATGCTTCTTTTTTCGCTGTCATGAAACACTCGTGATCATAAAACAATAGTGGCCTAAAGGCGAGGATTCAAATGTTTTTTGCTAGAAGTGCACAGTGCTATAATGGTATAACTATACTAAATACTGTATTTAAACTGTTTCCGCTTTTGTTTTCAGTACTTTGAAATTTGAAAACTTTTTCTTTGATTAAAAATCGATTTGATAGATTTTAATACGTTGAAATAATTCGGTCATAACGTGTGTAGGACACGGTATCTCAATTGGTTACAGCAACAGCACAGAACTTCGAGCTCTGCCCGTGTCGTAAATTTTTTTTAATCTAAAATCGATTTTTAAGACATTCTCAAGTTTATGTACCAATATTTATCTCCACCCCGTTGACATTCTCGAGTGAAGTCACCAATAAAGTCCACTACAAATTCCTGACCAACAAATGACCTTACCGACCGCTATAAACAACTTTAAGTATCGCGCACATACTGCCAACCAAATACAACTGACCTCTCCACATTCTTCCGGTAAATAAGAAGATAAAACAAATGAAAGGTTATTTGTACCCACTTAGAAATGCTTAGAGTGTAAACGAAATGACGTTACTTGTTAAGTTTTATATTAAGACCAGTTGCTCCGCTAAACGTTGTTTAATTGTTTGCGTGATCAATCTTATTATTTAAATAAAGCCGTTATATATGCTTAAAACGCGATATGTTAGTTAAAGTTTAACTTCACATATTATTAAAGTTTAACTAATATATCGCGTTTTAAACCGTTAAAGTGTTTTATTTAAATGTGTACTACTCGTGTAAACTATACACAGAAACAAATGAATTACCAATTATTGACTTGGACCAATATTAATCACCATAAAAACTGTTATATGCACATCTTTAAAAGAAATATCTATAAAAATAATTTATCGTTTCTCGATATATCGTCTATCTAACGCAAAAATATTTTTTTGATTCGAACCAGTAGTAGCTAATAAGAGCGTTTTTAAACAAACAAACAGACTCTTTATATAGTAAAGTATTTATAGTATAAGGTTTTCCCGACAATTCCACAAAGCTATTGTAGGTAGATTATTGTAAGTGAGAACCACTTTAGAAAATCCAAATAAATAGCTCAAAATTAAGCTATGTGTTATGATTTTAATTTTATAGTCTGTAGAATCTGTGTAATATGAAAATTTATTGTCTGTCTTGTCTTACCATAACATTATATGGTGCAAAACATGTTTTATATCTGTTTTGAACGTTAAAATGGCGAATTTAACTTAGCTTATCATTAATTTATTTTAATATAAAATAGGTCGACATAAGTGTTAGACGTAAACAACTAGACCGTAGCGCGTTATTAACGAAGCAGTTTACAGTGTATCTTAAAACACAACACAGGTCTTTCTTCTACAATAATCTCTTTTTTTCTTTCGTTCTTACTCAGAATGAGATTCGAACCGTTAAAAGTGATATTTAAATCGAAACTTTTGTTATCAGTGAGGATGCGCGTACGCTGTCTGCGGCGCCGGTGGTGTCGGCGGTGTCAGCAGTGTCAGTGGTGTCTGGAGTGACAGCGGTTTCATCAGTGTCAACGGTTCCTGTCAGTGGCGCTAACGATGAGCGGGAGAGGCCCTGCGCCTGTGCAGGTTGGCCTCGACGGCAACCAGTTCATGAAATACTCCGACCCAAGCCACGCAGGTAATTCTAACTTCTAGTCAATTAAAATATAACAAGTACAGTGCTCTCCAAACTTTTTGACCGGGCTGAAATTAGCGCGGATGGTTGCGCAGAACGCAAAAAGCAGGTATCAGTTGCGACAAGGGGGTGCGCGGGTGCGAGGCGACTCGATTTTTTGCTTAATATTACCTACTATTTAATAGTACCATGCGCAAGATGGCGGTCGCGTTAACATCAGCCCGGCCAAAAAGTCTGGAGGGAACTGTACCATATAATATTTTGGTTTGGGTTTGAATATCAATCAAATAAAAGTGGTGTTTTCTTTTAAAATAAAGAACTCTATGATCGAATTTTTTCTCTTATTAGGAAGGTTTTTGTTTTTTTTTCTAAAAAAATTCTAAAAACACAAACACACGACAAAAAATTATAGATTCGATACTGACTAGTGAAAATGTAGCGTCACATCCTCTTAAATGTTTCACACATTTAACTATTAATTTAGGGAACAAACATATGTTTTTTCTGGAGACATAGTTCCACAACACAAAATTCAACAACGAACCCCGACTACTCGATCGTAACGAAATTCGAAGACGTGTATAACACGGTAGCTCAATTGGTTAAAGCAGCCACGACACTTTTGTTGGTGGTGTAAGTCTCACCCGTTTTTTATTTATAATTTAATTGAATTTCAACACTTTAATACATAAATATAAATTGAATTGTAAATAAACAGAATCACAACGGTGTTTTGACCCATATTCGTGGCCAATGAAAACTGGTAGCGCTCGAGCATATTTACGATTTGAGCTGTTAACTTTGTTCTTTCAAGCTTTATGGCTCTTGCAAATTATGTCTTAACAGTGGGCGATAATTTATAGCTTAAGTGAAGATTACCATAATCTTAATAATTAATTTATTACGTCTGTTTTCCATTCTGTTAATTATTTAGTCACTTATTATCTACACATATTATTGTTGTAAAAAGTTTAGCCGAGTAGTACACATTAAAATAAAACAAATTTTGCGGTTTCAAACGCGAAACATATTCGTTAGTAAATGTCACAGCGACTTCGTCCGCGTCTTCTGCGTATCCAAATTTGTTTTTACAAATCTCCTCTTTATAAATTTCAGCTATTACTACGACGTCGGTCACGTTCTTTCGATCTACGTTCCATCTTAAGTGATAGACTTTCGCGGACATTTTTTTATCATTCAACTGAACCGTTTTCGCAGCGTACACATCGGAAAGCTGACATTACGAAAGTTTTGCAGCAGTCGTGGTCGCAGAGTGACTCTGCTGTTGCGAAGCATCCAAAACGACAGCAAACCATATATTTCACGTTTTAAACCGTTCAAAGTGTTGTATTTAAATGTCTAAAGTACAAATAAAGGTAGAGACTAATTTAGGACGCTATTAATCTAAAATAAACAAAAAAATATGCTTGTGGGAATATAACATTTTGCAAATCCTTTAAGGAAATCTATTTCTAAGAACGTTTAAAAATAAGATGGCTTATCGAAGGCTTCAAGACCAGAAGCAGATCTGATAAAAGTGCTGCGATTAAAGATGACTGGATAACGGACACTTTAGTAATGCATTTACGTCAATAAAATAAGAGGAGCTTTGATAATTACTTGATGATATTCTAAGTTTCCTTGAATAAACATGTTAATTATTTAGTCACTTATTATCTACACATATTATTGTTGTAAAAAGTTTAGGTGAGTAGTAAACATTTAAATAAAACACTTTAACGGCTTAAAATGCGATATATATTATTTGAAAACTTTACCATTTTTTACATGTTATGGCACATGAAGGCACTATTTAATTTAAAAATCGAAAATAAATCGAAAAAATTTTCGACTCGGGCAGGACTTTTAAATATAATAATAGCAATAACATGTAAAAAATAATAAAGTTTTCAAACGTTATAACTTTGTAATTTCATCTTCAATGATTTCTTAATCTGCAAAGCATAAGACGTTGAACCTTAATACGCAAGTGTTAATGAGGTATAGGACTCGGTAGTTCAATTGGTAGAGCAACAGCACGGAACGCTGACGATGCCGGTTCAAGTCCTGCCCGAGTCGAAATTTTTTTCAATTTATTTTCTATTTTTAAATGCGATATATACTAGTTAAAGTTAAACTTAAAAATTATTTTAACAACGGCTTTTTGTCTCGAGGAGACTGAAGATGGAGGGTGTCTCGAATGTCTCCAAAAAACTTCGGGTCGTTAAAATCTTTTCCAAATAAGTCTAGCTAATATATTTAGAGTTTAAAACCGTTGAAGTATTTTTGTACGGCAGTAATGTATCACCAGAACCTTCAAATCTCTTAGTAGAAACTGTTAAGGCTTAAACATTAATGAATCAAATATTTCAAATATCACCAACGACACAATAAAACGACAAATTAGACGTCATTTTGAGATTTTATAAAACCGGTTGTTTATTACGTAATCTAATGTATTATTGCAAGATCACATCCACCCATCCAATTTTACTCCGCTCGAATCTTTTATGGGATAATGTGGTATAAGCCAGGGTTATCAGGTCTGTGAAAACTTAAATTATTTTAAAATAAAATGTAATCCTAGGCCCTTTGTGGAAAGCTCAATCGAGCAATGTATTGTATAATATCAAAAAGTTGACCAAATGTATTAAAAAAGTATAAAAATAATATTTTTTTATTTCTTGTACATAATATGTACATTTTTGGTAGTTTAGGCCGTTACAAGAATATATGTCAATCGAGGTGTGTATAACTTCATAATTTCATTGGAAATATCTTATTAATGATAAACTTGGATTTCTCTACTTCTGTAACTGTCTAAGATGCATTGTAATGAGTGTGAGACGTCCTAGTGTCGAATCCTGGGAAGAATGACAAAGAGTTTAACACAGGTAGCGCACAGCAGTCATATCAAAGTCCCCGTAAATGTCCCATGCCCCATTGGGGAATCAGTTCACACTTATAAAATTGTCATCCCTAGCGCTGTAATGAAAAGCGACCGGACGCGCGGACGCACCAAGCATTCCCGTCCACATAAATCCAGTTTGGCAATTTTTTGGGGTCCAGAGATGCGTCCACCAGCCGCATACCTCCGCAAATGACTATATAATGCATCCTGGACCTGTTCCAATAAAAAACGTGTGATGATTTGTTGATTAACTCAGTTACGAAAGGCGAAAACTTGGTATTTTACATTTTCGTGTATAGGTACCCTTTATAAGAAGTTTATATTAATTCTAAATATGTGGATGAAATGTCAGAAATGTTTTTTTTAATGCATTGCTATAAAAAAAATAATATTACTTTTCGACAAATTTCAGGTAAAGAAAGTAATAATTAAGTTGTCTTGTAAAAATATGGAATATGTTTGAAAGAAGCTTGGAGAACACTCTGGTGGGGTTAAATTAAAGCTTTTTACAGTTATTAATATTAAGTTATAATTTTTAATCGCGACAGCTTATATAAATGAAACGAAAAGTTTGATATTTCTATATATACTCGTATGATTAGAATCACTGGGACTTCTAAGAATAGTTAAATAAATAATGTACGAAATTCTATTAAGTATTTATTCAGGTAACAGATTTTTCACATCAATGTATTAATCAGGTAAGTCGTGGTGTCATGAAAATCATGAAATTAAATTACCTGTAAATGGGATTATAGATAAATGTGACGCCATGTCAAATGTGATAAAATTGAATAGTAATGCTACGTATTGTATAGTTCACGGGAGTAGGAACATTTTAATAATTCACTTTAAACGGTTTAAAACGTGAAATGTATTAGTTAACTTATGACGGCTGCTGACATCGGGATGTAGTTAAAATTATTAAAGTTTGCGGTAATTATATGTAGCAATGAAACAAATATTTTTATATATCACTATATTATACTAAGACTTAATTCTTAGCACATATTTAATGTACGCTTGCCTGCATCAATAAGTCTTTTTATCAAAAGTCAATATATTTGAGTACCATTAATTCTAAATTCTATGTATGTAGGTGCATTTCGTTGTTGTGCCTACATAATGTATGTACATTACAAAAGCCTTTCATATAAAATTACGTTTATATATTTAAAAACTTAAATATTGGCTCCCCGTGGCCACGGCTGCTGCAAAGCATCCGAAACGTCGGGCCGAAATTAAAAATGATTTTCAAATAAGTTTAACTAATATATCGCGTTGTAAACCGTTAAAGTGTTTTATTTAAATGTGTACTACTCGCGTAAACTATGGACAGTATCTAACTTAAATATTTTTCACGTGTTGTTGCACATGATGGCAATATATAAATTAAAAATTACATTGGCTCGAGAGGTACATTTATCAATAGGCTAAATTCGACGATGACGTGTAGAACAAGGTAGTTTAATTGCTTAGAGCAACAAGTCACTGAACCCTGTAGTCATAACCTGTTTTCAATTTACATATATAATTATAAAAATAATTTGGTGAATATATTTCGCGTTTTAAACCATTGAAAGTGTTTTATTTAAATTAAGCTTGTCTTTATAAACAATAGTGGAGAAAAATGAGTACTTTCTCTATCACCTTGGGATGGGAACAGCATTTAATTGTGATTATGAACAATACTTGTTAGGTGTTTTGTAATGAAAGTAATTGTGCAAGAACTCTGGAAAATATCGTAAGAAAGCGGCCGTTACCGCACATTTAATTATATGCTGTAACGCTGTGAAAAGTTATTGTCTTTGTGTTATTAGTGATTCAGCCCTTTTACTCACAATAAGACTTAGCAAAAATAAATTTAATAAAAGAAATTTATTTACTACCATAAGCCACAAAAAACATATAATATTTGTAACTAAAAATAAAAAGTAATTGAATCTTAACAGTATAAAAAAAGTTAACAAGCATTTTCAAATAAGTTTAACTAATATATCGTGTTTTAAACCGTTAAATTGAATTTTAATTTAAAAAATTGTTTTAAAGTATACGCAAGTGCTTACTTACGATTTTAAACTACTGCCCTATTTGTGAGATAATGAATTATCAGGTATCTTTCGCGTTTTAAACTGTTAATATTATTTTAAACGACTATATATTTTAAAATAGTAGGTATTCGTCGCGATGGATTAGTTCAAAGAACTGATTGCAATGTAGTCCACTCAGCTGAAGCCGCCCTAGGCTAATAAAACTCCAGTAAGACAATTATAGTTTACGATGTCACCGTACGGTCTGCACTTAAGGAGAGGAAATAGTTTCTTAGACCCAGATGTTTCGTTTTCTCTTTAACAAATTCAAACGTTAATAGCCATTCGATATATAGCTTCATCTTAAGTTTAATTCAATAAATATTGTCTATAGTTTATGCGAGTAGAACACATTTAAATAAAATACTTTAACGGTTCTAAACACGATATATTAGTTAAACTTATTTGAAAATGATTTTTAACTTCGGCCCGACTTTTCCCCGTAACCACGGCTGCTGCAAAGCATCCGAAACTTCTTGCCGTAGTTAAAAATAATGTTAAAACAAGTTTAATTGAAATATATCGCGTTTTAAACCGTTAAAGTGTTTAGTTTAAAATGAGTATCAAATATTCAGTTACTAATTATCGGTTATAAGTTTGGTTTGTTTTTGAAGGTGTAAACTTCAACAAGATGCGCGGTCGATCTTTTATAACTTTGGTCTAATGGTGTAATAGAAATACCTATCCAATAGAAAATAAAATATATATAGATATTAGTTTGAACTAGGCGAAATATTTATGTTTGAAACAAAAGAAAAAATAATACACAATTATTATAAAATATGAAAAATCGAAAAAAAAACATCTCTTATAAATTTTTTTAGTGTTTATAGTCTTTATATTAATATCTAGTACCTCTAAAAGTGTACTTGATGTTCATATATTTGGCGAACCGCAGGTGATTTAGGATTTCAAAAAATTGTCTTATTCTTTGAATACCGTAATGTATTGCATGCGTATGCGTCCTTTTACTAAAAAAATATATTTATTATCCGCTTGTAGCTGTAACTGTAACTTGAGAAAGTAACGGAATGCACGTATTCGAATTTTAAAATAATTCTAGCTATCTAACTCGAATTAAAGCTTATGGTTATTTCTTATGGTATACAAATAAGTTGTATGTAAATGTAATAACCGATAATCGAGAAATCGGTAATGACTTGTGCCGTTGATTTGAAGCGTTTTCTATAATTAGCAACACTTTATAGTTTCGTTCACCCCGCCATCGTACCGCAATCGAAGACTAATGCCTTCAAGTGCATACTCCAAGTTCTGCATCACATCAGATCAATCAATTTGCTTGATTGACTTACAATTTCAATCCAATCTATTTCTGTCGTTATGACGTTCAGTATTGACTGTAGACGTTCACAATTAAATACCCTTTTAACAGTTTAAAACGCGAAATGTATTAGTGTGACTATGGTTGTTGTAAGTCGTTATTAGTAATTACAGTCGTAATTTAAAATAATTTGAATAACACATTTTGCGTTTTAAACCGTTAACGTTTTGAATTTTTCCGGGCTCCTTGGTATATGATAATTCAATGGTAATAGTAGGGTTTGATTCCCACCGCATCCAACATGCTTCTCATCAATTTTCTTTGAAACATGTTGGACTTCGTCTGGAAATCTGAATATTAAATAGGAATATCGATATTCAATAATATATCGATAGTCCATAAATGAAAAATCCGACAAGTTTAATTGCGTTACGGTTTCAGTCAGTGGATTTCCGAATATCCAAAGCCAAAATAGGCCGATAGCGCATCTTGTTTAGATGTTATATGGCTTGCTTCATCTACCATCAAGTGAACCTTGCAGGTCTATCGTCCTCTATCATAAAAAATACGACGTTCATAAATACGCCGTAAACTTAGAAAGCGGCCGTAAAGTGGAGTGACTCGTAGTTCTAGCGTGAGTGACGGCACAGCTATTAGGCAGGTTATGCCTACGGTTACGCTAAATTACATGAACGCCCGAACATCAACGGTATCGCTAATCCGCATCGTATCGTTTATTCTTGTGTGTTAAAGTAGCGGGGCTAAACAATGGTTCTTGGAGTAACGGCGTCCATGAGGAGGCCGCAGTGAACAGTGCGGCCGCTGCGCTCACGCAGTCATGCTGTGTTCCGCGCGCTGTTCATGCTTTCTTTGCCGCGAGTTGCAGTCCTGCCGCGCCGCTGACGCTCGTAAGCCTCCAAACAAACACAACATGTGCGACAATTTTATACTGAAGAAGGCGGAGGCCTGGGAGCCCATGAAGTTCATTAGAGGTGCTGCGAGGCTTTCAGTCAGACACTGGCAGAGCCGAGAACCACTCGCGCCCGGGAAGCGAACTCCGACTCACAAGTCCACGAGCTGTGAACAATTGTATTCGCAACCCACAGACGAAGGGCTCTACCCGTTGAGAAAGGCCCCCAGCTCGGATAGAATGAAACAAACGGATCACAAACCTCTATTTAAACTCCTCGGTAATTCGCGTTCGAAAAAAATAAGTGAACCACCCGACTCAAATGTTAGAAGAAGTGTATTGAATTTCAGGAAAAATGAACAACCCCACTCTAAAAACGTGCATGAAAAGTATGTGCCTCTGCCGAAAGGTTCGACGTCATTGGAACATATATACAGTGATCCAAAACAATGGAACTCTAAATACGACGAATGCTGTAAGCCACCAGTCTACCAAAGCGTTGAAAAGAAAATGTTAGATAGCAAAGCCGATAAAAAGGCTTACAGCAATCGTCCCCCGTGCTATGATGAGTTAACAGAGAGGTTATCTCATGAAAAGAACAAGAAGTCCACGACGCCTGACAGAGGACTGTCAAATAAAATAACACAAAACAATAACAAAGTTGTCATTTACTTCGGGGATTCACTCATTCGTAAACACAATGAGGAAAGAAAGGAAGAAATTAAAACCCAAGAAAATATTCAAGTGGAAGAAGCGATTTATGCTAATCGATTAGTGGAAGAAACAAATAATTCAGGGATAGGAAGAGAAGTTGACAAGGGTGGAGGAACACAACTAGTTACGGAAGTTCAAGTATCTGAGGGTATTTACACAGAAGTAAAGCCTGAAGTACCTGATACACCACATATAAATGACGCCACTTATAAAAAGGATATCCGGGAGACCATGAGCTCTGATGGATTTCTGATAGTGGAGTTCGAAGGGAATTTCGAAAGGGCTCGTCAGTTGGTCGATTTGGTACACGGCAGCAGTGGAGCGGAACAACATGAGGCAACAATGCTGGATGAGGACGAGCAATGCGACTGGAGTTTCATCCAAAATTGGAGAAAACGGTTAGTTGCTCTCAATTTATTATTCTACAAAAATTGACCGCGTTTTCGCCAGGTGTGATTTTGAAGAAATTAACCGTTAGAGCGAGTATAAATAATCTTGGAAGTAGGTGTTATAGGAAGTGTAGCGAACGCATTGTTTACGATGTTAATAGATAAGCCGTTACATAAATGTCGAAATTATGCAAGTGAGATCGGCTTTCGTTAGTTTTGAAGGCTTCCCGTTATAAATCTTTTACGTTTATCACAACTAATTTAGCATTTATTCTTTTAACTTAATTTTAAGATTTATAAGAAACTGAATTGAAATTATATAACCGCAAGCACTAAACTAGGCGATATATGTTACGTAAAAGATTTATTTGGTGAGAAACCGCAGTTAACTTTGATGAACTTCTGAGAACTAAATTTATGTATTATGTACAAGAGAGAGTATAACAACAGTACATAATTAAAAAAAAACTCAAACCTATAATAATATTTTAAAATTGTATTATTTACTAACTCTTAAGTTTTATAGTGCGAAGCGATTACGTAATGTTGATACAAAAATTATGACTTTCTCAATTTCCTCTATTTCATTTCATTCGTAATTAATTCGTTATGAAAGCAAGTAATCAATACAAACATTGTTGACTTTCATTTGAGGCCGTTTTTAATATGGCTGACAGATTTGCACAAACTGATTTGCACGGATTTGATTGAAAAAATACTATTTATAATTATGCTATTTTTGGCTTTGTGCCAAGACCAACTGTATCATATTTTTTTATATGGAGAACCCAATATATACATTTAAATAAAACACTTTAACGGTTTAAAACGCGATATATTAGTTAAACTTATTTGAAAATTATTTTAACTTCGGCACGACGTTTCGTGCTTTGCAACAGCTGTGGTCATGGCTGCTGCAAGGCACGTAAATTTTTTAACATCTGATGATGCCGTCCGCACGTGATGGCGAAACGTCGAAAACCTCTTCTCGCTCACGTCGGCCGAACAGCCCGAAAAACAATGATATTATTATGTACATACATTTTTCTTTTTAAACGATGTTAAGGACCGACACGATATAAAATCGTAAAACAGCTAAAACCTATCTTAACACCAGCAACTAAGGACGAAGTTCGTATTTTGATGCGCAGTACTTTGTTACTAAAATTAGGCATTGTGTTTATGCTTCGGTGACAATAATTATCTTATTATTGTGTGCCTATTGTCGATTACTGCTGTACATAGATAGCCAAGAGTGATGGTTCAAGGTTAACATGACCAAGTCAAGTGAGGAGAAGAGAGAGAGATCTTGTGAAGTCAATTCACAAAGATCTTGTTGATGTCTGGGGTAGTTTACCTTACATTAAGTAAACCCTAAGCTTCTCCTTCTCCACATCTTTAAAAAAATCTTTTACAAATGAAAAACTATTTACTTAACTATCTTTAACTTTAAATTTCTAGGTCATAGTTAAAATAAATAAATACAGATTAAATATAAAATTGACACAGAATAGTAAATTCATTCAATAAAAATGATACTCGATTTTTTTACAACCAGCCAGTTTGTCCTATAGATAAATAAAGTTTTGCATAGATTTCCATTTAAATAAAACATTTCAACGGGTAAAAACGCGATATATTTTAGTTAAACTTGTTAGGAAATTATTTTTAACTACGGCCCGGCGTTTCGGATGGTTTGCAGCAGCCGTTGTCACGGAGGAGACTCCCCACTATATCGCGTTTTAAACCGTTAAAGTGTTTTATTTATATGTGTACTACTCGCGTGAACTACAGGCAATATTTAGATATTAACTACTTTTTTACCGCTAAAATCAAAAAAAAAAATGTCTGCAACAGTATCTCTTTAAGATAAACTCACCAGAATCAAATTTTGTCGAAATATTATATATGGCAAAAGAAATTTGTCAGCTAGTTGATTTATAATTTTAAATATTATGTGTTGCTTTTTTTTTATATAATATACATGACAATTTAATTTAATTGTACCTACACCTTTTTTATTTAAGATGTTTTGTATATCTGTATTTCTACATACTTGTATAAGTAATATGTATTTAATATTTATTGCCTAAGTTTTTACCACGCTTTTATGCAACAATGTTTACTAATAAAATTTTATTGGCATGCTAATATTTATATTTACACTTTCGCATGTAAATCTCGTTTATCGCTGAATTAATGTTCGTTAAGAGTCGCGGCCAGTCTTTAATGGGAGAAGTCATTCAGTAGAGACGTTAACGTCGAGGCTTTTTTGTTTATTGCCTTCTAAGTTACGACGGATTTTAGTAGCATGTAAGTTAAATACTGTCTATAGTTTACGCGAGTAGTACACATTTAAATAAAACACTTTAACGGTTTAAAACGAGATATATTAGTTAACCTTATTTGGAAATGATTTTTAACGTCGGGCCGAAGTTAAAAATCATTTCCCAGTAAGTTTAAGTAATATATCGCGTTTTAAACCGTTAAAGTGTTTTATTTAAAAGCATGTAAGTTTAAATAAAATTCACTTCAACGGATTAAAACGTGATAGTCGTTTGTTTATGATAATTATGAACAACTAAATAAAACTAGAGATCAATCTTAGTTTTTGTAAGAAGTCTAAAGTATTGTTTGTAATTTTCGCTAATAGTGCAACTGTCGCAAAGTATCCGAAATATTGGGCCGTAATTGAATTAGATTAACTAATATATTTCACATTGTAAACCGTTAAAAGTTTTTTATTTCAATGAGTGCTACTTAACTACAGACAATACTGAATATATCACAGTTAAAAATGATGTTACTGATATATTCCGTACTTTAACCGTTAAAGATTTTATTTAAATCAGCATTACTCGCTTAACTACAGACAATACTTAATAATAATAATAAAACACCTTATTGCAAAAACAAATAAAATACAAATATAGTACTAAATAAATTATTTACATAAAAGAGTTAGTGCAAAGGCGGCCTTATGCGCGATTTCTTCCAGGCAACCTTTGTATAAAGAAAAGGAAAACAAAATAACAATAAATATCACAGTTAAAATGAACTTATATGTTCCGTGTTTTAAACTGTCAAAAAAGTTTTATTTAATACATATATTTAGAGTCCCATAGGCCGATCTGCGATCGCAGTTAAGCATTGCGTGAGATTTTAATAAGCCGATAGGAAGAGCTTGTCATTCTAAGTGTTCGTTTCCTCGTGCTTATGTAATTAGCGTCATAAGAAATGCTTCGCTTTATGTTTCCTGCTGAGATAACCGATAAATACTCGTTCTATCACTTTCGTTTTTAACATTTTTTGCGACTTCCTTCATTAATGCTTCTGATGTGTTGTTATAGATATTATTTATAGTCTCGCCTGCTGTGACTACATCTGTTTTAGGTTTGGCCTGAGCTTGTTCATTTAAGCTATTGTCTATACTGGATATAAGTCTTTAGGAAGAAGAGGAACTTAGAGAACCTTGCGGTACTCCAGGGCGGTTTGGACTATTATAATTATGACCACGTATACCGGAAAGCAATGGTTTAACCAGCTCTACTAACCTGTCTAGTATACCCTATCTTTTCGAATCTATAGAATATTTCGAAGTACCAAATAATATTGCACACGTACCCCAAACCATTTGACGATCTTGTTGGTCGTATGGTAAGTGGGTAAAACGCGTGTTGGACTCCGTCTGGAGGTCTGTAGGAATATCGAAATTCCGTCGGGGTCGCGTTTCGATTTTAGTCTTGATTTCCGAATATCCGAAGCCAAAGACGGCCTATTCCGATAACTACCCCGATAAAATCGATTCATTACAAAGATACAAAAAAATGTGTTCGCCTCATGAGCAACGGATATTTCTTCAGTAACCTTGTAACTTTAAAGTTCAGTTTTTATCGCGATTTCTCCTTGCATTTAGATGTTTATTTACATTGAGGATAACAATGTGAATTAGGAGCGCTAAAGTATCACTGTTAACCGTTGTCGGCTCAGGGTCCATCAGACCAATTGGACGCGCATCAGACGCGTATCGGTGTGTCACGCGATTACCGACACGGGTTAGAAGTATTAACCCCCCGACGCCGTTACATGCGCTAAGATGTTAGTCGTTTTATACAATTTCGTATGACACACAAAAGTTGTGACCCATTGGGACACAGCAAGTATTACTGTTGATTTCCGAGCTTGGTATAAATGTATTTTTTCTAACTTGGCATTTTTGCCAAACAACAACACGGAATCGTGATTTTCTTACAAGGTTTACATTAATTTACACTAAAAATACTTTGGAATACTGAATTATATATACTTACTAAAACCCACAGCTTCAAAAATGAATTGACTTACGTGGACAGATTAAAATTCCTTAAATTACACATTTACAGGGATGGGATGTAAGTAAAGTCAACGACAATTGGCATAGCTCTAATGTTCAAATATCGTTATAAAATTATTAATCTGCTTCTAGTGGATCCGAAACGTCGGGCCGAAGTTAAAAATCATTTTCAAATAAGTTTAACTAATATAACGCGTTTTAAACCGTTAAAGTGTTTTATTTAAATCATTGTTCTATTTGAACCAGTAGTTCCAGTGATTAGCACATTCAAACAAACAAACTCTTCAGCTTTATATATTTACTATAGATTCATATATGTAACGTTTGCTTATGTTAATACCTTTTCAGGCCATCTAGCGGCTGTCGTCCTTCCGAAGAGACGTGGTGTGGCGCAGGGGTTTCTGGTGCCAGAGCGCTGCGTGTACGAGTCGCGGGCGCTGCGCCGGCGCACGCTCGCCGCTTGTCGCCACCGCCGCACGCGCATAGAGCTACCACACCACCGCCACCCGCAGAACCACCAGCTAAACGTAGGTTTTTGCAGTACTTATTTTCATGTATCGACGTAATTATAACAAATAAGTGTGTTAGTAATTATTCGGTCTATAATATCAACCAGACCGCCTCTGTAACCAAATGATTAAACAAAAAAACGTTTCGGTCGGGCAGGGCACAGAAGTCTGATCAACTACTTGCCATCTCAAAACTATTACCTACTTTTGCTATGTTATTTTTTTTTAATTTTGAGCCACTCGAAAAGACTATAATATTTTCCAACTATTAATTATGAAAAAATGTTATCATCGTTCAACCAGATCTTTCCTTCCCGATACATATAATTAACGCGATCCTTAACGCCTCATAACAACGTTAGGCCTTATAATATTATCCACGATAAATGACACAAAGTAGCTTCATAAGATCTTAAGGGTGTTATTCCACTACCGAAGACGAGCGAAAAGCGAGTTAAAATGGCACGAAACAACTTGGCGAGTAGCGGACAGCGAGTTTATAATTCAAAGTTCCGAAGTCAAATTACCAGGACAACGCATTTTGTTTAAAAGTTATATGGCTATAATATTTCAACTTCCATCAAGTTTACCCATATCTGTCTGTCCGTTTTGACGTTACAGAGTTGCACTTTCAGAGAGTGAGACGGGAGACTCGCGCTATTTGCTTTATCCCTCGGCAAAAGTTTGAGCGAGTATCGTTAAGCGCGATTTGGCTAGTTTTATTTTGTATATAGAATTCATATTCGTACGTCTTTTGTGCGAGAAACAGCTCTTGTTTTCTCGCTATTAGTGGAATCACTGCCTGAGATATGCGAGATCAAAATGGCCGCTATCTTTCTGATACTTATTTATGGGAGTTGCGAATCAAATAATCCTGACTCTTGATTAGAAGATTTATTATGAAATGCCGTATAAGGACTTGTAAGTATGGGTTTCGTGACTTTCATTAGAGAAATTTTATCGTTCTTTATGGGCTTCATCAGCTTATCTATTACCCAGCATTGCTAGAGAGTAACCCAAATTGAATCAAAGGGTGACTGACGGGTTACCAACCGTCCATTTCAATAAAACACTTTAACTGTTTAAAACGCGATATAAGTATATTAGTTAAACTTTAATCGCTTTTCGGTTTCCCTATACGGATTACCGAATATCAAAGCCAAAATAGGTCGACGACACATCTTTATGAGATATTATATGGCTGGGCTATATCACTTTTCATCCACCCCATACTCTGCCCTCTTCTATGTAAAAAAATATATAAAGTATGTATACTATACTAAATTATTAAATTCTAATAAAATATATCTCTATACTTTAAATAGAACATTATAATGATTTAGAAGGCTAGATTTATTAGTTGATTTATTTTTATTTTAAACCAGCTTTTTTGCCAAAAGCAGGTAGTTAGATTGAATTAATAATAAGTTAACTAATATATTACGCGACTGTTATACGTGTTTTATTTAACTGTTTAATAGTTGCGTAAACTTACTCTACATTATTATATGTCATTAATTGGCACAGCCAAGGCTGGACCCCACACTAACAGCAAAATGTGCCGTCCTCTACCCGCTTTGTCTTTAGCGCAATGCTCACGCACGCCGTTAGTTCGAGTCCCATTTGTGTCATATTTTTCAATCTTAAACGTGCAATTAGTTCTTGTCTGTAGTTTACACGGGTAGTACACATTTATATAAAACACTTTAAAGGTTTAAAGTCAAACTTATTTGTCTCCCGTGACCACGGCTGCTGAAAAGCATACGTAACGTCGGGCTGAAGTTAAGTATATATTAGTTTTATAAGTTTAACTAGTATATATCGCGTTTTAAACCGTTTAAGTGTTTTATTTATATGTAATCAGTGTTGCGCGTAGCAAATTGTTTCTTAAATTTAATTACAAATAGAATAATTGCTTCACGAATAACTTATAATTAATTTACATAAATTATAACGTGACGTTGGTAATTTTTAATTCCTACTAATATATGTATAATCCTAAAAACTGGTTGGAATTGAAAAAAAATAATTTTGCGTTGGTTTAAAAATTTATATTAAACATTAGGCTGCGATGAATAGGATCAAAGAAAAATAAAAGGAACTTTGAAAAAATTGAAAAATTTTTATTCATCTTTGAAGGTTTCCGTAGCGTGCGCTTGAAAACTGTTTAAGATACCCAAAAACTGTGTATGAAAGAATTATTCCTGTTTAAATGATCTAAATAAATGTCTCCAACAGTATTTGTTTATGTTTTGAGATTAAGTCGCAAGAACGACGGGACACGGACGACATTTCGGGTAACCGTATAATTTTAAAAGATATGTTCAAACGTCCCCCTATTGTAAAAATACATTTTGATGTTCAAAACAACTATTCTATGCGGACAAAGTCGCTGGCACAGCTAATAGTATATATACGTTTTGCGGCAATGGTCAACTCGTTAAGAAATACATATATGTTTTGTGGAATAAATTATTTTTTACATCGTATCATTACAGTAATATATTATGTCTACGTGAAATGATTGCATCGAGATTTATTACAGAATTCACGCAATTCATATCTAGTCTTGCTTAACATCGACGTTATGTTTAATGCAATAGACAAAGTCTCATATAAGGAGAGGTCGTTTAAATGTCTGGAGAAAATTTTCAGTGATTAAAACAAAAGAAGTGCGACCCTTCGCCACAGGAGAAAGCGGGATTATATATTTTTTTATTGGAAACTAAATACTGTCTGTAGTTTACGCGAGTAGTACACCTTTAAATAAAACACTTTAATAGTTTAAAACGGGGAGACGCCCCCCGTGACCACGGCTGCTGCAAAGCATCCGAAACGTCAGGCCGTAGTTAAAAATAATTTTCAAACAATATTAACTGAAATATATCGCGTTTTAAACCGTTGAAGTGTCTTATTTAAATATTGGAAACTACATAAATAAGTAAACGATAATTTTATAACATAAAGAAATATTATATACTAGTGTTAGTTAATCTATACTAATATTATAAAGCTGAGGAGTTTGTTTGTTTGAACGCGTTGATAGAATTTCTATTTGTATACGATAGGCCATTTATCGAGGAACGCTTTGAGCTATAATATATCAATGGTTGCTACTAATAGAAGCGAAAGAAAATTGGGGAAGATCGAGGATAATTTTCCTCTGTAAGGACTTGCGTTGCGAACGCTGCAAAAACGGTTCAAGAAACCAAAGAAAAATATACATATAAAAGAATAATTGTCTATTTCTTTATATTTACTTGCAAGAACGACGAGACGGACGACGTCATGGGTAACAGCTAGTTAGTTTATTAAAACTAGTTTCCTACTCGCCACGAGAAATGTTTAACTTGCCTTTTCACGAGACCTCATGGAGGCTTTCACCACAAAATGCAGTTCTGGCGTAACTAATACTATGCACTATATTCAAGTACGTAATTTCTGTTTTAACTGTAAGGTTTTACATGTGGCGATCGTGAGGCATACGATAGGAACATATATTTGCCCTTTTCACTCCCTTATTTACATACAGACTGACCAGATATCTTCATTTCATCGGGATCCCTCAAAACTTTTGTTGCTTATAAGAAACTATCTTACATTATATATTCATATTATAAAATGTGTTTTAGAACAATAAAAATAGAAAATCTTTTATTCCAATGAATTACAAATTCCCTATTTCGTATTGTTAGGTACTAAGTGGAGAAATTTTAAAGTGCAAATTTCGTCAAGAAATTTTAAAACCTGATCGAAAGTTTGTAAGACGGAAGGAGATCAGACAATATCAATTGTCATATTTGTACAATGCAATAAAACAAAAATTATATTTTACCACATAAACAATAGTAGTCTTTTAATAATTAAAGCAATTCGTGCAAAACTGTTACCTGACATCAAAATATCAAAATTTAGGCTTTATAAATTTATAGTCAAATCTTCACTACTACCATCCGTTTTTGAGCCTCTTTATTTAGCTTTTTGACCGCCTCTGTAGATAAATGGTTAAACTTTCCTAGCATTGCGTTAAGCATGAGAGGTCCTCGGTTCGAATCCCAGGGAAACAGTAAATTGTTTCGGACAGGGCACAGAAGTCTGATCAACTACTTGCCTGGAAAATACTGTCTGTAGTTTACGCGAGTAGTACACATTTAAATAAAACACTTTAACGGTTTAAAACGCGATATATTTTCGGATGCTTTGCAGCAGCCGTGGTCGCGGGGAATCGCCCCAGTAAAAATGTTTTATTTAAATACTCGCCTGTAAATAAAACTCATAAGTGAAACGGACACAGAAATATGTTCGCCCCATGCCCCCACGGGGAAAACGTGATTTCATTTATAATACTTTTGTTTTACCAGCTTGTGTTACAGCAAATACAGAAGAGCAACGTGCTCAAACAACTGACAGTCCAAGTACAGCGCAGTTGAAGCCAGTCAGTGCAGTATCTCAAATAACAGTTGCCAGTTCACCAGTTCGTAGTGCCCCCGTGCAAAGTAGTTATGCCCTGGAGAGACGCAAACATGAGCATCGCCCACCTGACAACCCACAGCAGGTAAGGAACCATGAAATATGCTCTAGACGGTGATGAGAATTTGATCTAGGCATTCTAAACAGATATAAAATTACAATTAGTTACTCTTTAAATAAAACACTTTAACGGTTTAAAACACGATATATATTAGTTAAACTTATTTAACTAATATATACTTAACTACGGCCAGACGTTTCAGATGAAGGATGTCTCTCACGTTACGCTATGTGTTACGTCGGGCCGTAGCTAAAACAATTTTCAAAAAAGTTCAACAGATATATTTCACGTTTTAAACCGTTAAAATGTTTTATTTAAATGTGTACTCCTTAAGTCAATTACAGATAGTATTCTATTAGTTGCTCTGTTAAGCCAAATCTGACCTTTCTCCAGAACAAGAGAACGATCGTGCAACAATCCTGCATGATAGTTTAGGACCCGAGTTTGACCGCATCTATTGAAAGGATATTAATTTCTCTTCTCTTCTTATTTAGGGTTTCATACTAAAGCGCGGACCTTGTATTATCGCTTTCGAATTTAAGAACTGGTAGGAGTTGAAAGGGTAATCATTAAATAATGACAATATATATTGACAAAATACTAACTTTATAGAAGAAAAATATATGTTATTTTTTGACCGATGCAATTGTACAGAACCCATCGTCAGCGAGTCCGACACGCACTTGTCCGAATTTACTATATTACCAACTAAATAACTTTTACTTCAGTGCAATAATTCCTCTTTATTCATATTATGCAAAACAAATTGGCCGTTACTAGCAATTCATGATTTAACACTGCTTCGTTGCGTAAGTGTATTTTATGTTCATTGCTATAGCGAGTCAATATAGTCTTAACAAATAAATTTGATAATAATTTATTATCTGTCTCGGTATATATACTGTACAAAACAGATTGGTTGGTAAACGACAGCGCTGGTCAGCATAGCGCACAGCACAGGGTTGTCAAAAAAAACGAATTTATTGGCTTGGTATCGTGACCAAGCCACGCTTATATTTGATAAAACTTTTACTGAGATATTTTAGGGAAACACACTTTTAAAGAACTGCCAAAAATGATTTTCCTGGAGCAAAATTGAATACAAAAAATACACCTGCTAATTTAAACAGGAAGAAAGACGACGGGTCGTCGATCTAATGCTCGCAATATAATCCTGAAATAATCTAAATAAAACATGTTTCTAATCATTTTATAATTTTTCTGAAATGTTTGGACTTTGTTAGGAAAATCTGGATATTGAAAAAGTGGTAGGAATATGAACATTCCTTCGGTGACACGCAGCATCGTCCACAGAAAAAAAAAACATATTTCAAATAAATAACCGTTTCAGATTCACCCGTTTCAATTACGAATATCTAAAACCAATCCTTCCATCCATCGAGTGAGCCCCATGTTTGTCTGTCCTCTTATATCATAAAAAAAGTCAAAAAATAATTTTTGGAGGCCTAAAGCCAAGATAGGTCAACAATATAGCTTGTTTAGATGTTGTATGTCTGGAATATTCCCGTACTATTATTAGAAGGTATATTAACAGTCCAAAATAATACTTAATTTAAGCAAATACGGTCTATAGTTTATGCGAGTAGTACACATTTAAATAAAACACTTTAACGGTTTAAAACGCGATATATTAGTTAAACTTAATTTAAAATGATTTTTTTTAACTTCGGCCCGACGTTTCGGATGCCTTGCAGCAGCGGGGAGACAAAAAATAAATTAAAATCATTTTCAATTAAGTTTAACAAATATATTGCGTTTTCAACCGTTAAAGTGTTTAATTTAAATAATTTAAGCAATTATTGTTAGATATTTACTATAATTCCTCTTTATCCAAAAGCGCGTAGAAAACTTCCGGATCTGACCTGGAATTGAAGTTAAGAATTCATTCGTCTGGGTTAGATCCAGTCTCGAGGCGGTCACGAAGCTTCGTAATTACTGGTTAATTATTTCCTTAGTGCCATGATCAGCATAATTGATTGTTCTTTAAACATAATCCAATAGACGGTATTCGAGAGTTCCAAACGATAGAGTGCTACCGCTTTTGGTATCGTAAATTGCGAAGAAAATTCGTGTTATTTCTCATAATACCGTATATTTTCTTTGGCTTTGATGGCTTAGTGCTATATATAATAATCAACGGGTCGTGGATTCGATCCCCACTCGGTCTAACATGTTTTTTAATTAATTTACAATTTTTGTGAAACAGCTTTGTCTGGAAATCTGGATATTAAATGTGCGGTAGGAATATCGGAATTTAGTCAGTCTCTCGGTTTCCCAATATCCAAAGCCAAAAGAAGTCGATAGCGTATCTCGTTTAAATGTTACATGTTCGGTGCCACTTTCCACCAAGTTAACCACGCTTATCTGTGCTTTAAAAAACAAATTCAAACATATTTTATCAGATAATTTTTATTATTCACCCCGTGAACGCGCCTGTTGCAAAACATCCGAACCGCGAATATTTCGCGTTTTAAACCGTTAAAGTGTTTTATTCAAAATTTTTTTTGACAACCCTTACTTCGGTCCCCTGAGCACTCAGCCCTAAATATTTGGTTTAAAACCCTATAGGCCTTTCAATAGTAGCCATAAGTCGATAAGTTATTGTATTTACAATCTACTGGTAATGCTTGATACACAATAAAATGTTTATTATGGGTCTACCGACGCCCGTTAGAACTAATCAGGGAAAAGGAATTTCTATTTACTTGCTTTATTATAGATTTTATAACAGTAATCCGCGACGAGACGAGTCCAAAATTATTTACAATAATTTAATGTTTCTAATGGTTGTGGTTATAAAGTCAATAATAATGTTTAAATTGTTTTAAACTTAACGTCAAAGTCACTTAAGCCTAATTTATAGTTATGAATGAAACAAAGGATTATAAAAAAGTTAATTGGTAGGTATTTGATATCTAGAACAGTAGCACAGACTTACAATTAGAATAGAATGTGGTTAAATCTAGGCTTAATCAAGACATTTATTTAAATAAAACTCTCAACTGTTTAAAACGGGAAATCTATTAACTTATTTTTAATTATTTTAACTACGACGCGACGTGTCGCGGATACTTTGTGTACTGTACGGCCGTTGTAACTTGGCAGGCCTGATCTAAGCGCGAGACGCTGCGCAGAAACGTTCTTTAGGATGTTAACGGTGGTAAGAGCGAGGGGCGCGGGACGAAGATCTAGGCTAGTGATTGACTCAGTGTCAACACAATCGACCGCTTATTCTATCAAATTTTGTAATCGATTTTTATCGATTTAGATTGTGGATTTTAAATCGTATGAGATATTGTACTAAATGGATTGATGAACACAGTGAATGGTGTTGTTAATAAACAATACCATGATTACCTTTAAAGGAAAATAAAATTCCTTTTAAAAAACCTGATTTAGTTAAATATGAGTAATTATTTATATTATTACTATTTATACCTTCTTTAGGGCTTTTGTATAAAATTATATTTCTACGATCCAATTTTGTCTATTTCAATAGGAATATTAAACGACACTTACAAGGATCGCGTATGGACATCTCTATTTGGTTAGAATCAATTAGTGGTATTTTACTTTTGAGTATTATAATAATATGTAAAATCTTTCATTTACAGTAACGAAAATAAATGGCAGTATTAGTTTTCTTTATGAGTGTACATGCGCCAAAGGTAGTCTAACCTCTGTTCAGTGCTGCCAAGTTACATTAGCCGTATTATAGCCTAAACTAAGATGGAGGGTATTCCTTATGACAAAGTCGAATCTGCTACATTAGCGCCACCTGTTTCGTCGTAGTTGATACTTAGAGAAACTGGCTGGGCTCTCAAGGTGTTTTTCTCGATAGCTAGCTCTCTCGATAGCTGTTGTTAACAAAATTAAACATAATTTAATTGAAAACTGCGCGTTAAAAACCGTGAAGGTGTTTTGTTTAAATATGTACTGTGCAAACTACGGGCACTGCTTAAGCCATTTTTTCGTTCGTGTTTCAAAATCTAAACTAGTTCAAAATAATGGACAATCGTGTGATAATTTAGAATAATTTGTTACCGTTCCAACAGTAACCGTGTCACGGCGGATTTATAATACTGTTGAGGCGATCGGGTCGATTTGCAACGATTAACCGCTTAAGTGGGACCAGCCACGGCATTCGAGCATTTTGCTTACGGGATTTTAATTTCAATTTAACTGCGGATATATGAGGTTGCTAGAGGCAGACTGGCCTAACAAAAACATGATTTTCAAAAAGGTAAACAAAAATGCGCAATTAACTTACGCGAAATTAAATTTGTACTATTATTTGTGTAAGAAGTATGTCAACGATTTTTGAACACATGTGTAGCTGAACATTGTTCAAAAAAAAAAAAAAAAAAAAAAAAAAAAAAAAAAGGGGAGAAAAAAAAACAAAAGAAAAAAAAAAAAAAGGGGGAAAAAAAAGGGAAAAAAAACAAAAAAAAAAAAAGGGGGGAAAAAAAAAAAAAAAAAAAAAAAAAAAAATTTAAAAAAAAAAAAAAAAAACGGGGGGGAAAAGGGAAAGGGGTTTAAAAAAAGGGGGGGGGGGAAAAAACCCCCCCCGGGCCCAAAAATTTAAAAAAAAATTTTTTTTTTAAAAAACCCCGGAGTCGCAAATCTGGATGTTAAAGAAGTATATCGAAATTCCGTCCAGATAATGTCCACAGATAAAAAAGCCGAAGAAGTTTATTCGCGTTTCGGTTTCAGTCAGTGGATTTCGGATATGCAAGTACAATAAATAAAATAATAAAATAAATAAAAAGAAACAACGGATAGATGCCCTAGATCTCTTAATTATATTTTTAATTAACATTAATTAAAAATGTCTTTATGTATATCCTAAATCCTTCTTATAATTTAAAATAATTTATTTTTAAGTTAATTTTACAATTGTAAAATATTACTGCTTTTAAGACCTGTAAGATAGCAAATACGGTTAACAATTCTGTGTCCTGTTCTCCAGAATTCAAACCCGAAATCACTACTTCGAACAAGACAATGCTAGCAACACGTTCTACCATTTAGCGACATATCGGCGATGCTTGTAGTATTTACTATTATTGAATTGCTTCCTCTTTTATTTTTCTTATAGTTTTATGTAAGAAACAGTAGATTAATTATTTATAGGCGCTGCTTATTTCACACAGAGTTTTATAACAAACCTATCAGCGTCGTCACCCGTATAAAGGCGCGGATTGCTTTCGCTTTCAACAATCAATTCCCACAGCTCTTCCAAGAGATCGTGGGACAGACAGACAATGCTATAGTTTTTATAACTTTCGCTACATAACGCTCAAGTAACGTCGGTAATCGCGACGCTAATTAACCAGCTCCATCAAGTGATGAATGGATGTAAAATTGCTCATTCGCTGCAAAACAGATGATCAACTTTCCACTGGTTTCAATTGCGTAACCTTAATTCTGAGTAAACAAGAGTGTAGGGTCTAATTTAATGAATACATTTTTAAACCCACTTGAACTCAACTTGAACGCAACGTAAGAAGATTTAAATTTCCCGCGAATCCCATAGATTTGACATATTGCTTTTCCATTTTGACGTTACGTCATTAACGTCAAAATGGAAAAAATGGCGGATATAACGTGTAAAACTTAAAATATAATTAAATGAAGCGAGTTCATTTAGTAAATATTAATAATTAATAATAGAGGTTGCGGAGATAACACAATTTGTTGTTTTATAAGGAGATTTGTATAATTTTATATGTGCAAATTAGAGCAATAGTTGTTGCATTTATCTGAAACGATTTAATGTTTTTTTTTTGTTACAACTGAAACGTACATATTTACCAATAATTTTATATAAAAAGAATGACCGGGAACGAAACAGTACATTATTATATATTATAATTATACGTTAAAACCGCCATCTTTGCCATTTTGACGTTACGTCATGCGTGATATAAGTATATCAAGTCTTTGGGATTCGCGGAAAATGAAAATCTTATTACAACTATAACATTTTTATTTTAATAATTGTATATAATTAGTTACATGTTAAATGAAAGAATGATCTTGTTTGTACATCATCAACTAAGAGTAGATGCGCCGGTTTTCAGAGCCTTCCGAGAAATAAGAAGTAAATGATTTTAACTACAAAAATATAATAAAAAACCCAATAATATAAAAGACGAACGAAATAAATCATACTGGATCATATGTGCTGTAAAACTAAGTGAAAATGTAAATTTATGACAAATAAAGAATCCACGTATGTTAGCTGAGCGATCCGTTACACTCCATACTTGTGATAAATATGATTAAATTCTTGAAGTTCATTTTAATTTTGTATGTGTTGTGTCAAAACGTAAAATAAAGTTATATTAATTATAACTTATATTAACTACGGCCCGATGTGTTAGTAGCTTTGTAGCGAGCCGTGGTCGCGGAAGCACCAAAATTTGTACTAATCGCGTAAATTACAAGTTTTAATCACTTTTTAAACAATTATTAATCACTTCATAATAAAAATAATGAAGTCAATGATAAAAAAAAAGTAGAGGTAACCTCGAGACGCATGAAGTATTACAAAATCCACATTTTTATTACAACAGCCTGCTCCTTTAATTCCAGAATGGTGTTCGCGAATGCAACAGCAGCTCAGATGAAAACAGATCGTCGGGCCATGCCTCTATGTCCGACAGTGGCGGAGGTGGCGAAGCGGGTCGCGAAGAGCCAAGGCGATCGAGGCAGCCACCGCATGCGAGGACCAAGCATAGACCACATAATAAGGTACTATAAACAGAGATATAAGGCTAAGGTTTGCTATAAACCGCTATAAGCATGGCCCGGGCCAGCAACTACACCCTGCCACGCTGGAGGAGGCCGCGAAACGTTCTTAACGACCCCGACGACGACATAACCAAACCCGTAGACGCAATAGGATGCGATCTGCCGGCGCCGGCACCGATGTTCCTTGAAACCGGCGAAGGCGAGGTCTTTTACTCTCCCTGCCACTCCACTCACTATGGTGAGATTCCGTCCAGCTCTTCAAGCTCCTATTCACATTGCGGTTGTCCAAGTCAAGGCTGATGTCCTTAGGGGTAACCTTTTCTAGCCCCGACCACATGACGTCTGGTTAATATTGATAGCCTCGAGCCACGATACGTAAAAATCACAAAAAACGCGATAAGCGATTGAAATGTACTATTTTTGTCTCTTTCAAACATTGACATTGGCTGGTTTACTAAAGGTATAGTTAACTTAATAAGTGCGGAGTTAATCTTGACGCAAATTTTTAGCTATGATCTTGGCATACAGTAGCTAGTGAAATTATGAGCTTGGTCGACATTATTATTAAACGTCAAATATCTCACAGTTACAGTCTCCGTGGCCGGGGGGTGGTGGATTGGAGGACATCAGATCAGCCATTAAGCAACTGACTCTCCGATCTAGGGACAGCAGTAGCACAGCTACAAGTGGGGCGTCTAGCGCTGGAGGGGGTAGCAATAATGGAGCACAAGGTATATTAAATCTGTTATCTATTTCTATGATCACTTAATGGCAGGATACCCCAGCCTTATAACATCTAAACAAGATGCGCTATCGACCTATTGGCTTTGGATATTCGGAAATCCACAGACATAAACCGAAACGCGATTAAACTTTACGGCTTTTTCACCCGTGGATGCTGGTTCGTGACCCGGAAGGAATTTCTATATTCCTTCCACCCATTGTATATCCAAATTTCTAGACGAAGTCCAACATGTTTTAGAAAAATTATAAATTGATTAGAAAATTTGACTTTAACAAGCTTTTTTGATTGTAGAAGTTAATTTACTTAATGATTTTTTTAAGCTATAATAAAAAATAATGCCACTGTGCATGATGGCATTAAATAAATTAAAAATCTTTTTAAAGTGAAAATAGAACAAGGGCGAGACTCAAACCGGCATTCACAGCGTTACGTGCTCTTAACAAGACAGACACGGGTAGCTTAACTGTTTTTGATTTGAGTAATTATATACTGAGACTTATATTATGAGAGTTACTAAGTAGTGTTTTGTAATTAAACGTTTCCAAGTACACTCCATATTTCAATACGCATAGAGACGGGAAGTGCAGCGGAAGCCAGAAGAAGACGCGCTCCGCTGGTTCGGCAGCCATCACTAGATACAGTGTGTACCAACGTCACGAGCGCTGATGAGTTCGTCTGGGTGGATTCACATAATAGGTACTTTAATAATTTTCACCCATTATCTCTTAATTTCACAAAGTTCTTTTTTTTGAAGCATGTGAGATTCTTCACCCTAAAGGGCGGGAACATATCAGCGTCTGTTTCACTGATCGGTTTTATTTACAGGCAAGTAGATGATCAGACTTCTGCGCTCTGCCCGACCGAAACAGTTTACTATTTCCCCGGGATTCGAACCGAGGACCTTTCGAGCTTATCGCAATGCTAGGCAACACGTTTAACCATTTAGCTACAGAGGCGGTTAAGATTATTATTGAAGCAAGATCCGTAAAATTTATACTTATTGACTTGATCTAGTTAATTAATAATCCACCAGATTTGTCACCAGTAATCTAAAGACAAATAAAACATTTTAACGGTTTAAAACATGAAATATATTATGACCTAATTTTTTATTTCCCGTTTTAAAGCGTTAAGGCTGATTTATTTAAATGCACACGGAAACTATAACTTAAATATGTTGATTATTATTTTCAGATTAGTAGAGTTACGCTGCGTGCCATGGACGGCGAGTGAAATAACGCGAGCCTTGCAATCTGGTCGATGTCGGGAGCTTAGTGCCAGAATGGCGCCGGATGCACCATCCAGACTAGCATATTTACTGCAACGGTATGTACATATTACGACGACAATATCTCAATTACGACGGTCGATCTTGGATTATTACCTAACCACGTTAAATTTAAAAGAGGAGCCTGAGGAAGGCTGGAAATCATGTCTATGTATGTATGTAATTTCAATATTTCAAAATAAAACACGAAAAGAAAGATCCACACGATATCTTTAAGATGAGTTTTTAGGTTTATCGCGAGTAAATAGATTACTTAGACTTATCAAGTATGAAATGTCCCTTTACTGACTACTTTAAAGTAAAATAATATTTTTTTAGCAGAAGAATTTCTGAGATTGTTTTTGACGCGCATACGTAAACCTATAAATAAGTTTATTCGTATGTAGAATAAGTGATTTGATTTGACTATCAAAAATTGTGTTTAGATAAAATGCGTAACTGGAATAAGCAAAGTTTAAATAACACTTTAACGGTTTAAGACGCGATATATTTTAGTTAAACTCATTTATAAATTATTTTTAACTACGGCCCGACGTTTCTGATGCTTTGCAGCGGCCGTGGTCAAGGGGAGACTGAATATATAGTTAAAAATAATTTTTCAAACAAGTTTACTATAACACCTTTGAAACCGCTTAAGTGTTTTCTGTACATTTTATTATTTTTAGTTCAGGAAGTAACATTTTATTTCTATTTCAGAGCGTTAGTCCGTATAGCTCGGGAAGCTCAACGTCTCTCGCAGAACTTCGGCTTCTGCTCCAAGCATGAAGTAGCCGGTGCGTTCCGTATCATCCTAAGTACACCATTAGCCGACGCTTGTATAAAGGTATATTTCTAATTTATACTAATATTTATAAAACTAAAGAGTTTGTTTGTTTGAACGCGTTGATCAAGAACTACTGGTTCGAATTGATAAATTATTTTTGCGTTGGCTAGGCATTTATCGAGGGAGGCTTTAGTTCAGAGAAACAGTGCGAAATGTGGTAATAATCTTTAGCTGATGCAAGATTGTACGGCTGAGTACCAACGGTTAATGGTTTGACCCTTATCGGTTTTATTTGTGATTTGCCAAACATTGTTGAAACTTAGTTTTTAACATATCAAAATTTAGTCCATGTAAGAAGATAGAAAGAAAAGATTACTTTTCAAGGTTTTAGTTCAATATTATGGTATTAATGTTTGTCATCCTATGTCTTAAAGCTTCCGCTTCAAATTCTTAGGGTTGTCAACGGGCAGCAACAATGTACGCCACGTCAGGCAGCGCCGCAAGACGTCTCGGATCAGCCGCTCGGGCGCGTACCAGTTTCGCGCCGGGCAGGTTCTTGAGATGGATGCTGGACGTTCGTGTCGCATCCTTCGTGCATGAGTAAGTAACAAGTTATTTAAATACTGTTTGTAGTTGAGTGCACATTTTAATAACACGTTAACGGTCTAAAACGCGATGTAAATTAGTTAAACTTCGTTTAAAATTATTTTAATCCCGTCTTGTACCACTCTACTAAATCCTTGGTATATGTTAAACTAATATGTATCGCGTTTTAAACCGTTAAAGGTCCTAACATTGTTAATAATATGGCAATTGTAAAAACATCCCGGCAAAAAACTTAACCAAATAATTATGATGTCACGTTATAGTATTTTTCAAGGCTGTCACTTTGATTGATATATGAAGTAGGTATATTCCCAATATCCAACACAAAATAGGCCACCATCGCATCTTCTTTCGATGTTATGTTGCTGGGGTGTTTCACATTCCATCAAGTAAACCTTATATTTGTCTGTCCTTCTCTAATATAAAAAATATTTCAAAAATTCTAATATAAGTTTATCAGTTATCTTACTTACTTACAATTACTTACTGCAGTATCTTCAGAATTACTAATCAAACTTAATAGTTTAATTTTAAGTAATTTTAGATTTTTAACACCCCACAGAAGGTTACTACATTTACAATATATTTAAAGATTTATGTATGTATCTTTCTTTGTAAGTCCTGTATTTTTGATATACAAAAAATATATCACTCCCACAGATACGCAGCGATATATCTATGCGCTGGTATGGAGACGCTTCTGGAAGAGATAGCGCTGATCGCCGGAAGTGGAGCCGTAACTACTCCAATAGCACCAGCTACTATCGACCATGCTGTCGCAAACTGCTCGGACCTTTGGGGTTTGCTGCAGCCATATAGCCACTTGAATGCTGGGCGGGTTGCATCAGGTATCTATAGATAGCACAACATTTAAATACAAATATTAGGCCGAGGCAGAGTAGCCTACCTGCAATTTTATGACTGGAGTTATTTATCTAAAAATGTTAATCTACAAGAGCACAGTGAACAAAAATTTTTAACACAATTTCAACATATAACAGTTAAATTAATTTTCGCCTAAGTTGATTGCGCATTTGTATTTTCCTCCTTATTGAATAACATTTTTTTTAGGCCACTCTGCCTTTAGCAGTCTCATATATTGTGAGCTGTGGTTAGCTGATTATATGCTTTTGAATTCTGTTTATTTGCGATCAACATACGACCATCCAAAATATTTATTTTAAGACAGAGGAAAACAAATAAACATCCGTTTACTCAATAAGTTCAGATTTTCTAGACTAAACTTACTGTTAAGGAATAAAACTTAATAAACTGAACCAATACAGTTTTTCAATAACTATTTGAAGATTGATAAAATCATTAATAATACCTAAAAAAACATTTTTTAAGGTGCGTTGTCCTTATCTCGGTGGGAGTCGATGAGTTCCTTGGCTTCTGGTTCCGGTTCATCTTCTGGCGCGCCCAGACCTGAAAATCGACAACTGGGTATGAGCCACGACTCGGGTATTACTACAAATGGATCTGGTGAGTCAAGCTAATAAAATCAAAACATTCTTACATGGCAAAAACTAAAATATATGTAAAATATAAAAAAAATACATTTTAAAACTTTAATAATTTTTTTTCATGTACATTGCACATGATGGCACTATATAATTTAAAAATCGAAAATAAATTGAAAAAATGTTCGAGTCGGGCAGGACTTGAACTGGTGTCCTGCTGCTCTACCGGTCCGGTTGCTCGGCTCGTGCTCAATTGGTAGAGCAACAGCACGGAACCGATAGCATCTAAATAAGATGCGCACTTGACCTATTTTCGCTGTAGATATTCGGAAATACACAAACTCAAACCGAAACGTGATTAAACTTCACGACCTTCTTCATCTGTGAATGGTGGTTTGTGATACGGATGGAATCGATATTCTTACCATCCATTTAATTTCCAGACGAAGTCCAACATGTTACAGAAAAATTATAAATTGATTAGAAAAATGTTGGACCGATGGGGATCGGGCCCACGACCCGTTGATTATTAGCCAACAAGCCCGTCAAAATTAAAGAACGATTCAAAATACTTTGTTGTGATATCACTCAGCTGTTGCAACATAAGAATTGCTCAATGTTGATTCCCAGGAGGTTCCGGAACATCTGGATCAAACGCCAGTTCGGCTGAATCGGGCGGAACAAATGGATCTGTGGGCTCTGGTGCTTCTGTTCTTTTGACGACCTGTGCTGGATCTGCGGGAGAATTGAGAGCCGTGTTACGGCAACTCAGCCCGCGACACTCACCGCTGTCACCGGCTGGTGAAAGGGCATTGTATTACTTCATGCGTTGTTCGCAAGTTAGTATTTAATATTGAAAACATACCTATATAAAATGAAACGGAGCCTTCTAAATATTCATATACTTCTCATCATACAAAATCTGGTACAAGCATTTTGTCGTGGATGGAGTCTTTTTTCGTTGATTTCCTATTCTTAAGCTATGCAAAGTTTTCAAAACAATTTGTAGTACTTTTTAGTATGAACTTTTCCATACATAAGGCTCGGGGCAAACATGAGTATGATTTATTTTTACCCACTATCTTCATGGTGATGGTAGGCGTGATATAGTGGTAAGCCACACCAACATATAAAAAACCTATTAACAGACAAATCACCAAATTTAACATTTGTACCAAAATGGGTTTTACCATAGAGTCATCTAAAACCAAGTTATATTATTTCAGTTAGAGCATAGCACAAGCAATGGTTCAAATGGCGCTTGTGGGGGGAATCGTCGCGGGGGGGATTGTGGGGTGAACGTGGCGCGGGAGCACTCCCACCACTTGGGGAGTGGGTAAGAGTTGCACGAGCGCATGCCGCGTTAAGACCACCGCCTGCTGTACCGGACGCTGATGACGTGCTGCAAGCTGCTAGGCTGCTACTGCCACATGCAGACTGTCCACCGAGGCCCATAACGTTAGTGTTATCAATATTATTTCAAGTGAGCTGTGAGCTTTTGGAAGTCGGATATACATTTTATTATCATAGTCAAGTAAGCATGTACTCACATGCTTAAAATTTACCAAAAAAATCATGAAATGTCTCTTAAAATTATTATGTCATATTTGCAAATACATGTATGTACAATCTGTAACAAGACAATTAACAAAATGTTGTTAAAATACAATACATAACCGTTTTATTCGTTTCATTCACAGCTTTAAAAATAAACATTCAAATACTCGGTGATTACTCAACCAATCGATTAAATATTATTAGCTTTTTATTGAGGATAAGAACTGCTTTTGATATTTGTTATTTTGCTTTTTCTTCCTTTCATTATTATTATTATTATTTTCTATCGAGGACACTCTTGGCAGGACGGGTGATCAGTCCACGTTATCCGCTGACCATTTCACCCATTGCCCCATTTCCTCCTTGCATTGCCTTCCATTGGTTTTGGGTCATCCAACTCTCCCCGTGTCCCCTTCAAACCTTCCGGTCTTCCTTCTTCTCTTCTCTCTCTCTCCTTCTTCCTTCCATACTTTTAATGGTCATCTGTTAGTAATTCCCTCTTTAACTTTTCTATCTTGTATGTTATTTATTCCTCCATTTCATATAATTCTTCCGTGTAAAGTTTCGTGTGTTCTTCTTCCTTATCTTCTGCATTACATTTAGTGTGGACTGACATCCAACATTCAATCGAAGAACCAACAGATAATATTAATTCCTTTTACAGATTAGAAGAAGCAATAGAACCAGCATGGTCCAGGTGTACGCGTACAGCGGATGAGCTCAGTCGAGCCGCGTTAGGTTTAGCCCAACGAGCTCTGCTCAGCGGTAGACCGGAGTTCGTAGGCGGGGTAAGAGCGTTGCTGCCACCCGCTGGAATAGACGCAACGGATGCATCTGGACTTACTGCGCTCATGAAGGCCGCGTTAGCAGGAGACGAACAAGTCGTTGCGGTAAGTTTAAAAAAAATCTATGATATTTCTTCAGTTTTTGATAAGTTCTTTAATTCTTAACTTTTATTTATTTCTTGATTTAATTCAATTCGTACAACATTAAGTTATAACTAAAACTTATGCGTAACAGTGCTAATATATATTATACAACAGTGAATCTTCTTATGTATACATATAAATTAACATTCGGTATAACATACATACCCACGCACTACATAAGTTGATTTATTGTAAAATTACAACACTACACTTACAAGAAACATAAGACGACAGCCGTAATTATCCTTAAACATTCGATTGCGGTTCTCGAGTTTACTCACACACAAACAACAAAGCAAAATTAATTGACTATGCTTACATTTCAGATGTTGCTAGAAGCTGGCGCTGATCCAAACATTGAAACCGGTGGTGCTGCAGCGCAACACAACGCGCTGCTCTCCCCATCACGCTCCCCCAACCATCCGCATTCGCCGTCTCATGCTAACAACTCACCAGCGAACACATACACACCACCTACTGCTGGTAAAAAAATGTTCAGATAAAAATAAATAATATTGTTATTAATGTTATTAGCTGGCCCATTAATTGTAACCTATAGGGTAGTTATGTAAGTGTAAATAAAACATTGACGCTTTAAAACGCAAAATATATTTGCTAAGTTTCCGAACCAACGTTGCGGATGATTTCTAACAGTCATGATCACCGGAGAGCTAGTCTCCAGTTTTGAAACGTTAAAAGTGTTTTATCTAAATTTCTAAGTCCTTTATTCCAGAACCCGGTAGAAAATTTCTTGCTCGTCTTGTTTGTCTATATATTTCTCTTTTTTTACACTGACTCTAGTAGATGCCAGGAATTACCTAATGCCCTATTATTTTGCTACAGGTTGGACGGCTTTAGTCTACGCCTGCAGCGGTGCTGGTGCTGGTGGTACAGGTGCAGTAGAAGCAGCGAGAAGACTATTAGCAGCAGGTGCTAGAGTAGATGGCGCACCGGCCAGAGGAGAAGATGTATGCACACTTACACCATTGCAGGTGAATAAATTCTTTAATATTACATATATGGGTGATAGTTGTAATAATTTTATTACTTATTTTTTTATACCTAGCAAATGTATTACACTAATATATAAAGCTGAAGAGTTTGTTTGTTAGAACGCGATCATCTCAGGAACAACTGGTTTAAATTGAAAAATTTTCTTAATGTTGGTTAGAACAATAATTCGAAGAAGGCTGCAGGCTATAAAACATTGCGCTGATGCCATTAGGAGCGAAGATACAGCTGGAAATTTTTCATCCCCGTTTCCGTTGCGTACGCTGCGACAACGGTTAAAGATATGTACAAAAGAATGATTCCTCAAAAAACGATCTAAATAAATATCCGCAATAATATATGTCTATAGTTTACGCGAGTAGTACACATTTAAATAAAACACTTTAACGGTTGAAAACGCGATATATTAGTTAATCTTATTTGAAAACGACTTTTAACTTCGGCCCGACGTTTCGGATGATTTGCAGCAGCCGTGGTCACGGGGAGAACTAATATATATGGTTTAACTAATATATCGCGTTTTAAACCGTTAAAGTGTTTTATTTAAATATATGTCTACCTTTTAAGATTAACTTTCAAGAACGAAGAATTGCGACCGACGTCGTGAGTATCGGCTTAAATTTATGAAGACAAAGAGCAAGCCACGCACAAGCAAATTTTCTTGGCCAAAATAGCTATTATACGTGGACGAAGTCGCTGACACAGCTAGTTAATTTAATAAATTAGGAGTGTGTGCCTAACACTAGTCAAACATTTGCAGGTGGCGTGTGGTGTAGGGAATCTGGAGTTGGTTCAGTTGCTGTTGTCTCATGGTGCAGATCCTTTCCTGTCAACACAACTCAACGACGCCCTTTGCTATTCGGCGGCTGCCCAATATGGCTGCTATAGGTACGTTATATAAATGATTTGCATAATCAACATGTGTATTGTAAAACTAATACTTGAAGAATAACTTTCATATAATTTAAATAAAACACCTTAACGGTTTAAAACGCGATATATATTAGTTAAACTGATTTGAAAGTTATTTTTAACTACGGCCAAGTTTCGGATGCTTTGCGGCAGCCGTGGTCACGGGGAGTCTCTAATTTTCAAATAAGTTTAACTGTTTTATATCACGTTTTAAACCGTTAAAGTGTTATATTAAAATGTGTACTATTCGCGTAAACTACAGACAGTGTTTAACTTACATAGTACTTTAGATAAAAAGCTTGTCGCTTGGCAAAACTAAAAATATTATGTGTCCACTTTATTTTTTCACATAATACATACGTACATAATGTATACAACTATCAAGACTTGTATATGAATTGAGTGAAATAGGCTGAAAACTATCTACTTCGCTTTAATGGCACTGCTTTCGTCTTCCCATGTTACTCTTATTTGTAGTATCAATACTTTTTGTCTTTGAGATATAAACTAGACTTTTTCGTGATTTTTCTTTATATATCTACAGTGCGGTAGCAGTATGCTGTACTCATGGTCGTCGCGCGTGTCTAAGAGCCGCTGTCCGCGGTGGTGGGGGTCGTGCCGTTCTCTCCCTGGAAGAAGTTTTAGCTGAAGGGGCACCTCCGGCTGCTGGACGTCCGCCACCATTTAGTAAACAGCAGCAGAGGGCATTACAAGACGCTATGTATTGTGCAGCCGAGACTGATCATCTGGGTAACTACAAACTAGAGATACGAGTTAACTATTTATATCGGCTTACATCGTTGGGTCATTTCTGATTTTAAACAAACTCGTTGGTGTAATGGTAGCAATGTATAATAATCAACGAGTCTTGGGTTTGATCCTTAGCAGGTCCAACATTTTTTTAATCAATTTATAATTCTTCTTAAACACTTTCTTCATCTGGAAATCTGGATATTAAATAGATGTTAATATCGAAATTTCTTCCGCATTGCGAACCACCATATACCATCAACGGATGAAATAGCTTTAAAAAGTTGAATCGCGTTTCGGTTTGAGTCTTTGTAAATCCGAATATCCAAAACGGTAGTAGCGCATCTTGTTTAGATTGTTATATAGCTGGTATGTTTTGACCAACTACCATCAAGTGATGTTGTTCACTTGTCTGCCTCTATTAAATAAAAAACAAGATTCAGAAGGACTTCTCGGTAAAGGGAATGTAACTATCGTTAAAATAATTTACCCCAATTGTAGACATAACCTTGGAGTTACGAGCTCTAGGTGTCCCTTGGTCGCTTCACGCCTGGACTCTCTCCTTGGCCGCTGCTGCAGAAGCTTCTCTTGACCATGTCATCGACCAGCTATTACAAGATTTCTTACAGGTAATTCTAGAATCTATACTAATATATAAAGCCGAAGAGTTTGTTTGTTTCTTTGAACGCTTAGAAGGTTAATATTTATCGAGGAAGTCTATATGCTATAAAACATCGCCCTGTGCCTAATAAGAGCGAAGATACGTTAAACGTATCACAAATAGGGACACTTTTCATTATTATGGATTTCCGAGACGTAGTGAAAAATGTGCAAATGGTTAAAGTTGCCTAGCATTGCGTTAAGCGCGAGAGGTTCTGGGTTCGAATCTCAGGGAAACATAAAATTGTTTCGGTCAGGCAGGACACAGAAGTCTGATCTGTGTAGTCAGTCTGAACTACTTGCCTGTTGAAGAACGGATCAGTAAAATGGACACAAAAATGTGTTCGCCCCATGCCCCACGAGGGGGAAACGGGATTTCACTTTTTTTACGCTGCAAAAACGGTTCACGATACCCAAAAAATATGTATAACATATTATTTCTCTTTCAATGTCTATGTTTTAAAATTATTTTGCAAGAACGACGAGAAGGTACACGACCAACTGTCGTGAGTTTATAAAGGTAGGGGGTTTGCAAAAACGAATTTGGATGCCCAAAATAACGATTATCGCGGACAAACCGCTGACACAGCCAGTAGATAATATATTTCATTAACTTGTACTAATGTTTTAGTTCTGGTGAATCTGCGGCGTATTTAAAATTCTTTTAAACCAACAGTATAATCAAACATATACAATATACATACAATATCGAAACGATACAGAACAATATTTTTTAGGTATGTCCCTCGGATGATAGCCACTACAGCAAGCAGTTTATATATGAATGTCTTCCCCTGCTTTTCAACATTTTACGATACAGCAAGGTATGTTTAATACTAGTGAGTTAAATTTAAAAGTATTGGAGAGGTTAAGAAAACAAAGTTACAGCATCGATTAATAAAGGGAAGGAAAGAGTTGAAATATAACTTGCATATACTTAGTTGGTGGGCTAGACACGCTTTTTGTTGTGGAGGAATTTATTGTTTACTCCCTTTGACACTGTTTCTACTGTCTTAGTTTGCGAGTGGTACACATTCAAATAACTTTACGGTTAAAACGCCATGAATTTTTGAAAATATAACCGGCCCGACTTCCTGTTTCATTTAACAGTTTCTTTAGCTCTTTAAGCATTTAAAGCGACTTGAGTTATTGTTATTATTATTGTACAGAAGGAAGGCACAGTGCTGCTGCTTGCAGACATTCTATGTGCGTGTTATGGATGGGAGGCGGTGCCAGCAGTGCGTGAACCACCGCCAGCTGCGCCTGCGCCGGCGCGCGTCGACGTCTCATACGTCAACAATCCGTCTCTTGCTGACGTCACGTTCAGGTAAAATTTATGATGAGTAAGAGTTCAGTCTCGCATAGCATTATAAAATATGAACTACTGTCATTCGTTTCTTTAGTTAGACCAGTGCTAATATTGAACAAGAATTTTGACCTAGTTCGGTTATTTCACTAGATGGCGTTTTCCTTTACCAATTGAATTTATGAAAAATTGAAATACAATTTTTTATTATTAAGTTTCACATATGATATTAAACACTGGGTGTAGTTTGCGAGAGTAGTACACACATTTGAATTAAACACTTCAACTGTTTAAAACGCGATATATATTTGCTAAACTTATTTGGTAAATAATTTAACTGCAGCTCGACGTTTCGGATGCTTTACAGGAGCCGTGGTCACGGGGAGGCTAATTTTAACCAATATATATCGATTTTTAAACCTTTAAAGTTTTTTTTAACATATGGTAATTTTTTTACTCTATCTTTGAATTGAACAAAATAACCATTCCACAGGGTGGAAGGTCGTCTGTTTTACGGACACAAAATCGTTCTCGTGTCGGAATCCCCGCGTTTGAGAGCGATGTTAGCGCCTACACGGAATTCTACAGATGCCATCCCTCCAGCGAACACCACTCCGCCTCTAGTTCAAATCAATGACATACGATATCATATATTTGAGGTATTTATTAAAAACGCGAATAAATTTTATCAACATAACAGTGAAATCACGCTGGGCTTGCAGGCACAATACTGGGGCCTTTTCATTGACCGCTTCTCTAGCTTGGCGAGCGCGAGAGGTACTAGCTTCAAATCCCAGAGAAACAATAGATTGTTCCGGTCGGGCAGGGCATATAAGTCTGATCAAATGTGTGACTACATAAATTGAAGAACACTGAAATGTGTTCAACGGGAGGAAATGAGATTTCACTTTTTACTGGTCCATTTTAACTACAAGCGAGTAACTAATTCTGATTCGTTTTGTATATCGGAACTCAAACCTAAGACCGCTTAAGCCAACGTATTTTTTATGAACAATGAAAAAGGGTTTCGTTTTTTTTTAATGACAGAGGAGGACAGATCGTCTAAACAAGATGAGCTGTCGCAAGATGACCTTTTTTGACTTTGGATATTCGGAAATCCACAGACTAAAACGGAAACGACATTAAACTTCACGGCTTTTTCATCTGTGACCCGGACGGAAGTTATATCCTAACACCCATCTAATATCCAGATTTCCAGACTTCCAATTTGTTTCAGAAAAATTATAAATTGATTAGAAAACTGTTGGACCGGTGGGGATCGAATCCACGACCTGTTGATTATTAGGGGTACATTGCTAGCATACACCGACGAGTCCGACAAATTTTATTAAACAATATTTCAGTTACTCAGAACCTGAACAATTATCATGAAAACTGTAAACTTTCAGCAAGTTATGAAGTACCTCTACTCCGGAGGATGCTCAAACCTAGATATACCAGAAAGCGATGTGCTGGAAGTATTAGCAGCTGCTTCCTTTTTCCAACTTCTGCCGCTACAGAGACATTGCGAGGCGCGCGCTGCAAAATCCGTGGACCTTCACAATCTTGTCTCTGTCTATATACATGCAAAGGTAAGCAAGATTAAATGTTTTAAACAATTACTTTTTCGAACCAGAAAAGGATAAATATAGAATTCCCAAACGGGAAAATACTAGGTAACTTATTGTTAATCGCGACCCTACGTTTGCATCTGTGGTCACATTCACCTATAAATAAGTATAATATATTTCGATTTAACCTAAGGTCATTTAAAAGTTGTAAATGTTTAATTTTATAAAATAATCATAAGCGATCCAATAGGTCAAATTTAACACCCTACGACGTTGGGATTGGGTTGTGAGTCGTTTATGACGTTTTCCCCAAAAAAATGGCCGAATTTTATTCAAAATACCTAACATCAACGCAGTTTACCGATTTCTGCTCGGGAAACTAAAGTTAAACTGTGTAAGTTGTACAATAGACACTACTTAACTTATTTATTATAATTAATATTATTCATGACATTTCAAGGTATACGGCGCTACTCAACTACTCGAGTACTGCCAAGGATTCCTCCTTCAGAACATGGTGGCTCTGCTCACATACGACGACTCGGTGAAGCGGCTTCTGTTTGGCAAAAGGCTGCCTGGACACAACGTATTAGGAGCTTTGTTAACGACGCTACAGAAGAGGATCGAGTCTCGAAAGAACCAAGCAAAAAGCCGATAGCATTAGTCATTAAGTCGAAGAGTTATTGCGATAGGTCCCTAGATACCATGATGAAAAGAAAATAAATAATACAAAAATTAGAAGACAGACAAAAGAAGTTACACATACACACAAGGATTTAAAATGCTAAAATACTTATAGGAGGGCATATAGTTCCAATTCAAATATTTCCCGCTAAACTTCAATAAAAAAAGCTCAAAACTTCTGAATTAATGAATAGAAATATTTCTCGTCGCAATTCTTTTCATACCAAAATAGTGTGTTTCCTTAGCCATCAACAACGTTTGTTAACAAATGTAAAAAATAATCTATACCTATAGGATTCCTGAAGATATTAAAAAGGTTAAGTTATAGACACGACCCATAGTGAAGTTCTTACTGTAGATTAAATTATTAAACAGACGCACAAAAAAATAGTTACCTACCATACGTAGATAAACATATCGTACCACAGATTAATAACGCACTTCCGTATATGTCCAAATTATTATTGAAAAGTTTGATAGAAGACTTGTAACTTTTGGTGTATTAAAATGTAAATAGCTATAAAAATTTATTCGTAACTTTGATGTTAGAATATAATGAATAAATGTTTTGCAGTTCTCAAAGACTTTTTATAGAGATTTTCGCTTTGGTATAAATCTGTTATTTATGGTAACACCTTAATTATCTATAAATACTTGTAAATAATTATTAAAACGAATATACAAAATTATAGCAATAATATTTCGGTGTTGTGTAAATATAATATTAATTATTAAGCAAAGAAAATTACTACAATATAAAAAATATTTCTGAGTATATATATATTTATCTATACTTTTATATTTTTTTAAACTATGAAATACGTATAACGTCTCTTGAATTATTTCTGTCTTCCCAAATTGCAAGTTTTTCAAAAGTTGACTTATAGCATTAGTTAAAGTATTTACAAAGTGGTTGACAAGTACCTACGTAAAATTAAATTTTTCGATCAAATGACATAAATATTGTATTATGTATTTAAAATTTTCTGATCGACATGGCTAAAACAATTATATTGTTTAAAAACTGATGTAATTTGTAATTATTTTTGTTGAATAAAGATATTTTACTTAATACTTTGACTCAATTTTTTTATTCACTTTGAAAAATATAATGTCAAGTTTTGAGTAGGGTATTGAAGGGTTTTAATTGGCAGAATGCTGAATTGTTGGATCCAATTTCATGAAAAAATTGTCAAGGTGGACTGGACTAAACTACATATGTAATATGGCGTTGATAACATAGGACATTTAACAGTCACTAGCTAATGTATGTAATTTCGTTTTAAAAGACACGACAGTTAAAAAAAGATAGACTAGCTCTATTAGCCAAGTAGCATCCAACTTCCGATGTGGTGGTAAGTTGCAGGGATGTTACAGAGCTTTGACTCCGGTATACACATATATCCGGTATACGGTATGGACATACCGCATACCGGCAAACGCGAAGACACCGTTAGTCAATTCTGTAAGGACCCGGCAAGTTTCGCCAAATACCAACTTTGACGGAACAGATGGCGCTAGCGTAGCAATTTGTACTTTGACGTCAGAGACATCCTCCATCTTTAGTCTCCCCGTTACCACGGCTGCTGCAAGCATCCGAAACGTTGGGCCGAAGTTAAAAATCATTTTCAAATAAGTTTAAGTAATATATCGCGTTTTAAACCGTTAAAGTGTTTTATTTAAATTCAATAAAGGATCTATGCATGCTAATACAATAAATTCAAATAAAACCACTAAATCGATTTTATTAAATTTAAATGCACGCTTACCAATAATGGACCAATTTTTGAGTTTATTATAACTTCTTGTGTATTTGGAAATGTGCCAATTTCTTTTTCGTTGTTTGTATTTTAATTTGGAATTGAAAATTGAACTGAAAAAAATTTGACTACGTAATGTTTTATTTGTCCTCATGCCACCACTTCTGACCCTGCCTCCAACTCCGATTCCGACTCCGGCTCTGATTACGATAAAACTCCCTCCGTTACATCCCTGGTCAGTAGTGGTTATAAATTCACGAAAACTTACCACAGATGGCACTATTTATTCACATTAACTCATATATTTATTATAATATTTAAGTTACATTTATAAAATCATAAGTCTAATTTTACTTTGAACATTTATAGAACAAGAATTATAGAAAAAATAGTAAACAAATAATTATTATAGTATCACACGTTTACTAAATAGTGTTACCAGGCCATAAAATATTATTTAAAAAAAAAATTTACTAAATAGTCAATACAATATGACAACAATCACAATATATCGAAGCGATTGAATTTATATAAATAGTAGTTCACTGATGATGATGATAATGCTTGAAACACTATTTATAAATATTTATGACATATTTTTATAAACATTAATCATTATGAGATAGTGATTAGCACCCATACGATATAATATAGTCTATGGTTTATGCTTTGATACGAATTGATTTTGACAGATTAAATTTGAAAAGTCAAATGTTGCGCTGTATATTCCAACTATAATCTGTATACTCGTGTGACAGTGGTGTGGTGGTGTGACTGTGAAGACTGAAGTGTGAACGAAAGCGATTCGCGATTCGCGAGGCGGCGTGCAAAATATAGCTCGCTTGCGATAAAATAATATTATTATAAAAGTGTGTTTAGTGTTTTAGTTAATTAAATGTCGTGACAGTGTACCAAAATGCAGTTTTACAAAGAGAGGATTCTTAACGCTGCGCAGTTAAAAAGACTAAGTGAACACAAGTATTCTTGTAGTAGTGCCAGTTTACTTGATGCATGGCTCCAGCCTTGGTGGTGTTGGCTTGTTTCTAAGACTCCACTTTGGCTCGCACCGAATCTCATTACTATATTAGGCTTAATTATAAATATAGTAACTACTCTAATCCTCGTATGGTAAGTCTCTCGTTTGATGTTAATGAAAAAATTGTGCCACCAATCACGACTCGAGAAAACAACTTTCATTTTTTCAATAATATTTCACAAATTGGTGCTTACTTTCTTATAACCTAGTTTTATTAACATTTAAGTAACTGTACATTTGACGGAGACTATTTAAATCGGAAATGTTGATACATTCTTTACTGTTGAAAACATTTCATTTAAAATAAGTATCATATTAAGCTGATTACAAGGTTTTAACTAATAAATTACTTTTGTTATCTCTGTATTAATTTTGAGTCTCATTTATATTAGTTTGAGCAATTGTATTATCATACTAGAGACCTTGAATGTTAAAAAAAAAGTCATTTAACATTAACAAATTTAGCTGTTTCTGCATCTGATATGATTTATAATATGAAATATTTATTGTGTTATTACATTTGTCTCTCCATACTATAACATTATGAACCCTATCAAATCACACATACAATTTTATAGGTATAGTCCAGATGCTCGACAAGATCCACCTAGATGGACATGTGCATTATGTGCTTTAGGCGTATTTGTATACCAGAGCTTGGATGCCATAGATGGCAAGCAGGCAAGAAGAACAGGAAGTCAGTCTCCCCTAGGAGAGCTGTTTGACCATGGTTGCGATAGTATATCCACAGTGTTCATAGCTCTCGGAGCTTGTATAGCTGTCAAACTTGGAGAGTATCCTACATGGATGTTTTTCCAAGTAAGTGTTAATCACATTCTATTTATACAATATGATAACTGTTTTTTAATTGTAAAAATTACACTTTTAGCAATAAACTATCTAATCACTATTTTTTTTTTGTTAATACTAGTAAAAGTGCCTTATGTGTATGACTTGCATAAACTACAGACTATATAAACTTCCTTAACCCAAGTAGATTTGCAAAATGGCTGCAAAATCCTCAGAATGATTGATATATTTATATAAAAATTGTTTGAATCACTTTTTGCTAAAATATACTGTCTATAATAATTAGATGCATTTACGTTAACAAGATATATATTTCCGTTTTACAATCAAAGGCTTAATTATCATGTTTTCACTTTCCATTTGACGCACCACATATTATTGCAATTCCAATGAATATTGCACAATGCAACGTAAAATAATCTCATTTCATAGTCTTAAGCTTTATGAAATGTTGTTAGGATTGTGTGCTAGTGTTTTGTAAATATTGTTTTAACGACACAATTGCCAGCTATATACATCATGCAAGCCCAATTGTTGTTATTTCCTATACTAACGGGCTTGTTGGTCTAATGGAAGCAATGTATGGCTAATGATCAATGGGATGTGGGTTTGATCCCCACCAAGTCCAATATCTTTCCTGGATATTTAATGGGTAGTAGAAATATAGAAATTCTGTCCAGTCTCGAACCACCCTCCACAGATGAAAAAGCCGTGAATCTTAATCGCGTTTCGATTTCGAATCGTCTGTGGATTTCCGTATATCCAAAGGAAAATAGGTCGACAGTGTATATTGTATATATGCTTCTGTTCTCCTCTATCACTAAAAAAAAACCTGAAAGCATAATAGAAGGTTCAGATAAATATTAAATCACTTGAGCCTATTAACTTCCTTTAAATTGATTGTAGCAAGTTTGCAGATAAGCAAAGCCATAATCTCAATACATGAGACATTATGATTGAAATAGTTAAGAACTTATCAGACCCTGACTGTGTAACGGTATTTTATAATTTTGGATAGCTAATTCTTTAACCACATTTCTATGGATAAAATATTGCCGTGCATTCTGTTAAGGTTCTAAGTCCTGGGTTCAAATTCCAGAGAAACATAACAAATAGCTACCAGGACAACACTGAAATGTTCTTGTCCCAAACCCCACATAGGATAAACAGCCTATGAATCTTGTAGTAAATTCTAATAGGTTTTTGGATGCTGCATGGTATATGTTGTTATCATATTGTTGTATCGGCTTATCGTAAATAACGCGTAATACACTTAGTTATCGCTTTTAAAATACGAGATTGTGGTATGTGGTAAATTATAGTGCAAAAGATAACAATTTAAAACATTAGTCTTAGGATAAAAAACGGCCTTCGATGATTTTTGATATCGCCAAATTAGATATAATATGAAAAAGTTTTTATGAGTGAAATTTATTGATGTCGTTTGTACAAAATTATTGTTAGGCTTAAATCTCATGTTAATATTGTACTATATTTCGTTCTGCGTACTATATCTGTCGGGCTGTAGTTAGAATAAAATAATAAAACAAAGTTTAACTAGTACATTTCGCGTTTTAGACCATTAAAGTGTCTCATTTAAATATAAACGTTGTGTTAAATTTATTTATAGATAATAATTAATAATACTATATTTTTAACTAACTTTTGAGTAGTGTTACATAATTTTCCGTAAATATTTTTTTTTAGACCAATACTATATTAAAGTCCGTCCTATTAATAAAAATACTAATATTTCGTGTAATGAATGGCTGGAATTCCTAGATAATACTCTTGAGTCATGATTGAGTTGAAGACCATATCATCAACGTGGTTTAGTCAACAAAACTTTATGACAGGTCCGTTGGTCTAATAGTCGACGACATTACATTGCTTTGGGGTCGATACTCACATGTTTTAACATTTTTCTAAAAATCGATTAGCTCTTGAATTTTATTATTAATAGGTCCACCGAAATGCAGCAGCCGTGACGTATTTTGTGCATTTCAGAATGTCGAAAGCCAAATGGGTCGACGGCGCATTCTCTATAGATGTTACCTCTTCTGCCATAAAAAAGAAATTACCGTTTTGGTCGTCGGTTTCAACACTTACGACGTAGTGCCCGCTCGCGAAAGGATAAAGTATTGCAAAGGAGGTGCAATTAACTCGGAAACCGCTTTACGATATGAATCGTTATATTTTCGTAATACTTAGTAAAACTGGGCTTAGTCGCTTGTACAAGATACACAATAGTTTTATATTCGCTTTATCTTTTAAGCAACGGGAAGCCAAAAAGAAGTTGATATTGTCATTTTTAGTAAGTAGTACTCGACTGTAAGTGATGAGGCCCGTGATTCGAATCCAAGATGGACAGAAATATTAGTAGATTTATAGGGAGCCCGGAGTTTAGAAGTAGAAGGTGTCATCATACATGGGCATCGGGGAGTAGAGTATTCATAAGTCCTTAGAAAATAAGTTAGCTAATATATTTCGCGTTTTAATTATATATTAAATTTAATAAAACACTTTCAACAAAATATTTTATTTAAACTCGCGTAAACTACAGACAGTACAGTAGGTATATGTTAGAAATACAATTGTGTAGCTCACTAATTATAACGTAGTTGAGCTATAAGTTTATCAAGTTACTTGTTTGCGAACTGGGTATTTTGGTTGCCAACTGGCGGTTTTGATTTTCATATCTCGCAGAGAATGAACTAACAGTCATTTAATTGTACTTATCCAAATATATCAGCATCGCGGTTCAATGCAAGGGACATTGAACTCAGTTGAATTATAATAATTAGAGAAGTTCGAATAAATGAAGGCCATGCTTCGTAGTTTGTTTGCGAATTATTTTTAATACAGATCTTAATACCTTACCAAAAAAAAATGACCGCCTCTATAGCCAAATGGTTAAACGTATTGTCCAGGAATGCCTTCAGCGCCAGAGGTCGTGGGTTCGATTTCCAGGGAAACAAAAAAAAAATGTTTCGGTCGGGCAGGGCACAGAAGTCTGATCAACTACTTGCCTGTTAAAGAACGGATCAGTGAAACGGACACAAAAATGTGTTCGCCCCATGCCCCACGAGGGGGAAACAGCATTTGACTATACTAGCAATAAAATATTAAACGTGATCTGACTCTGAACTAAGGACTTACCGGCCTAACCTCGTTAGTAAAGGTAAAAGGGTATACACGTATACATACATAAAGAGTGTGTGTCTCTGCGTATGTGCGTCTGTCTTTTTCTGTGTGTGGGAGAATTTCATTTCACTAATCGATTTTAGTTACAGACAAGTAGTTGATCGGAATTCTGTACCTTGCCTAACTAGAAAATCGTGTCCGTCCGTTTTTAATAAATAACGAAATATGGTTCTATTAAGAAAATAATTTAATTAATGTGGAAAATGGCGGCACTCAAGTGGGCAATCTGAACTGTTAATTGTTTGTTCATTATATAGAGGTCATAAAACTCATGAATAACAACGACATTACGGGTTGACGTCGTCACTGCTATTAACTACTGAATTGCATTGACTAATCTGTGCCCGCGGCCTCGTTCGTTTTAACTAGTTTATGTGATTATTGAAGCCGTATCAGCTGTAACGTTATATCACTTAACATCTTTTCTATCTGTGCATGGACAGTATTTCGATATTCCTACATTTAAACTAGATGCCCTGTCGATCTATCTTGGGTTTGTACATTGAGAAATCTACGGATTTCTTAAACCGAATCGCGATAGCGAATTGCTTTTTACTTCTGTGGACGGCTTCGTGAAGTCAAGACCTTCTACGAGTCTTAATTCCTATTAATTAAAAAAAAAAATAGCGTTATGTAGAGACATTTTCGAGGAAGCCTATAGGCTATAAAACATCACTGTGGACTCTGTGCACAGACGCAGCGGTAAATGTGGAAAAATAATTCATCTTCGATGGTTCAACTATTCTACACGGACGAACTCGTTGACACAGCTAAAATATTATATATATTGGATATAGATGAAAATTATCCTTGTATCCAGGGAAGATCCAGCTAATGTAAACTTGAGCTAAAAATATAGCTCAAGTTTACTTTAGCTTTAGCGACGTCTCAGATTCTTGGCAAGTAGATAACTGGGGCGATGCCAGGTGTGACGTACACTAATACGATTTTTACCCAAACCGGGCGGGACGTTGACTATGTGGCGTTTGTATTTCGCGTTTTAAGCCGTTAAGTTATGAAACACTAGTTGACGCCTGAACATTTTTTATCCCGAGTTGAGAACCTAGTAGGTTTTTTCGCGCTTAATGAGCAACAGGTTTTATCACATCAAAAGGAGAAAATAAATAGATTTACTATTATATAAAGCTGAAGAGTTTGTTTGTTTGATGACGCTAATCTCATAAACTACTGGTTCGAATTGAACAATTATTTCTGTGTTGGTTAGACCATTTATCAAGGAATTGAAGCAAAGAAACAGCGGGAAATGTGGAGAGAACGTTCCGTTGCGTATGCTGCGTAAACGTTTAACAAGATATCCAAAAAATATGTATGAAAGAATGATCTAAAAAAAATCCGTGGTACGTGGTATATGATAATCTTTTGAGATTAACTTGCAAGAACGACGGCACGCAGCCGACGTCATGTACTTTACTTTTCCTTAACAACACCTGACCAACAATAACAAATAATATAATCTTGTTCCGCGATGCTAATCTAAACGCTCAATTTTTGACAACAGACAGTAAAATTAAACGCGACTCGTCTATTTGTAAAATCACGCGCCGCTTCCGTGTTATACATATAACTATGGAAATTAGACGCCCAGCATAAAATATTTGACCTTCGTGAATCTCCACATTCACGTAGATTTCATATATTAAGACAACGAAAGATCTGACGATTGTAAAATTATTTATTTGTTTTATTTAATATTGCTTTATTATTTATAAAACTCACCACAGAAAAAACATATTAATGAGGAAAATACTTACGTACTAACTTATAAAAACAGGCGGCCTTCTCGCTAAGTAGCGATCCCTTCCAGGCAACCTGAAGTACAGGAGAAAAGATATAGAAAATAATTTATTTTAATTACGTGGACACTTAAAAAGATCTCACATTCGTTGTGACCTGATTCATCAGAACAAATATCCATTAGGACTGTAAACGCTACCATACTTCATATATCTATACTAATAATGCTGTAGAGTTGGTTTGAAGGCACTTACCTCAGGAAGTACTGGTTCGAATTGAAAAAATATTCTCGTGGTGGTTGGATTATCTAAGAAGGCTTTAGGTTATGTAACATCAAGCCGCGACTAATAGGAGCGAAGAAACATAGGGAAATGTGAAAAAATATGTATAAAAGAGTGATTCCTCTTTATATAATCTAAAAAATTGTCCGCGACAGTATGTCTCTATCTTTTAAGATTCACTCGCAAGTACGACGCAGATTTGGGTAACAGCTATATTTTATCAGCTGAGGAGGTTGTTTGCAAAAATACATTTTTATGCCAAAAATAACTACTCCACGCGGAGGAAGTCGCGGGCACAGCTAGTTTAGAATTTGGGTGCGTCGCGTCACAAGGCGTCAGATAACTGTCAATCCTCAATTCTGAGACATTAAATACAACGAGTAATATTGTTTTTCGCCTATATATTAAAAGGCACCAAAGCGTCGATATAAGTTCATTTATAGATGTATTATTTTACATCATTTTTCGTCATTTATTAGATTTACATTCTGTAATTATAATTGTTATTGATTTGAATTACCTTTTGTAACATATTTTTAATTTCCTTGTCATTTTGCATATTAATGTTGCTTCAATGCGTTTACGCTCGAAAGTTGAACGTATAAACATCTACTACCAAGAATTTTAGACCGAAAATGTAGTAGTCGTTAAGCCAATTACATAATAATAAGTTATCTAAATTAACGTAATTACGAACGACGCGATAAGGCGACGATCAGGTGATCGGTTGTAGCCAATACTACGGGTCCGGCTATCTCATTGACCGGCGTTATCGGGAGCGTCTCGCATTTGGAGCGGTAACCTTCGTCTGATGACTCAGAACGGGGAACTGGTAATACAGATAAACGTTAGAATATTGTTTCAAAAGCAAAGCAAATATTATCGTTTATATATGAGGCCGCTAGAGGCAGAGTAGCCTTACTGCAATTTTATGACTTGAGCTATTTATATTTTCATAGTCTAAAAATGTTAATCTCCAAGAGCCGAAAATTGTTTAAATAATTTTTACACAAATAATAAAAGTATAAATTCATTTCGCCTAAGTTAATTGCACATTTTTATTATTCTCCGTATTTAAAATCATGTTTTGTGTCATTAGGCCCCTCTGCCTCTAGCAGAGCCTCATATTAAGATATGAAAAAAAGAATGATAATTCCTGGACGGGACTCGGCGAATGCATATCATGAGGTGTTTGAGTCCCGCTCCATTGCCATACACCAGAAAGAAACAAAGAAATTTTATAAAATATATAGTCAACATCGCATTATACGCAAATGTTCTACAGACTTATGAATAACAAATTATTACTGTCCCTATTCTTTGAATTTTTATTATTTCTTGGGGACACTGATAGAAGCCTGCTTGAGCTGCTAACCATTTTACCCATTTCTCCATTACGGAGGACCACGCTTAAATAAATTACGTTTACAAATTTGGAATGGAAAAAAGTGCATGTATTTATACTTTATTTCACGCAAAATTTGTAAACTTAAACTATAAATCAAACTAGTTCTAATATGCAATAAATTTATCATTAAATATTTATACAAATATGAATAAACAATAATATACTACAAATATAAGCAAAGATCTATCTACTTACCTACCATGATAGGAAAGCTAAAGAAAAGCACATAATTTGAAAAGGATTAATAGTGACCCCATTATTTTCCAGTGCTTCTGCGCCATGACATTATTCTACTGTGCCCACTGGCAGGCCTACGTCACGGGAACGCTAAAAATGGGCCGCATCGACGTCACAGAAGCGCAGTACACGATCATCTGTATTCACCTTATATCTGCTACTCTAGGTGCAGATGTATGGGCGACTCAGGTAATGTAATTTAGTCTGTGTGCAGTAGAATTTAGCGCTCATATTGCAATGATCTGAAAGTAAAGGCTCATTGTGTACAGTTTCCCACTTGTGAGTTCCTCTTTAAAAGGTCTTCCTGAGGTAGGCGAATTTCAGATACAGTCTTTGAAACAAATTTCACATCTAATCCAGCCAACTACTTCTAAATATGGTTCCTAGTGAATAATAAAAGAATAATTAACATTATTATCGTTACTTTTTCGCCGTATTTTTAGTGTATAGGCCATTTATTAGAATGCCAAAATATCATCCATATATTAGTAGTAGTCTGACATTACCAATTTATCCTTATTATATTTATATTCCTGTTTTTACTTAACGATCATTGTAACTTATTAAAACTCATATTAGATACCTATTTTAAATAATTATTATTTTGGAATTATTTGTATTTCATGATATTATTTGTTATTATTTAAAAATACCCACATGAGTTTGTAATAATTTCATGTATATTATCGATATGGTTGTGGATGCTTAGGTGTACTTTTATTAGAAAGCACTATATTTAAGGTTACATGTATAATATTATCTTAGTCTACCTTTAAGTAAGCATTCGCCGCATGTATTCTTAATATTATGTTGAATTAGTTCATCTTAGAAAATAATCTTATAATTATAAGCCGTGTAATGGCCGTAACTTCAGACTAACTGTTCTATACTATTGTAAATATAATTTGCACGAAAACCTTGGACCGCGTAGATTCAAAATATACTGGGATCTCCAACGCGCATAGTCCATTTAAATTGTTGGCAATCTTTTTCAATTAATTCAAAATTCTTATTTTATTTGGTACTGATTACGTCAAGTAGCAAATAAATACCAATCAATTTAAATTATTGACAAAAACTTTTGTCACCAACAACCAAATTGTCAATTCTCTTTTGGTACTCAACGTTTATATTATATCTGGACGATGTCATAACAATGTATTCGTGCAAAGCTGAGGGTTAACTGGGCTCCAGGTGGGATCGTTCGAGATGCGCTATTCGCTAGGTGGCGCCGCGCTGCTCGGAGCTGTCATGACGCTGGGGTCGCTTGGAGCAGCCATTGTAGCTGGTGGCGTCGGCAAGAATGGCTCCACAGTCGCCGTGAGCTGCCTTCTTCTCTTGCATGTGGCGTGGGAGTTGTATACACCTCAAACTGCTCAGACCATAAACAATTGTATTATCAAACGTTATATAGTTGACGGGCGTGCTAAACCTCTGGCCTTCTGGAATTTTGTTTAACTTACACCGTGACGTCTATTGCAAAATCAAAATGGTAGCTTTCTTTAATTCATTGGTTCACTAGCTCCAGTTCCCTCAAAAATATTTCAATGGATAATGGTATTCGTTTAAAGTAATAAACTGTGTTACCAATACCATCACTATTATAGAAACCTTATTCCAAATATTATAATTGTGGGTATATGTAAAGCGTTGTGGTAGTCATGTGTGCACGTCCTATATTCTTACTATGTAATAATTCACGGGGTGTCCAAGGTCCTATTTGCACAAATATTTTAACCAAATCGTAGCAACCCAAGACTCTCCCACTTTTGGGCATAGATTTTCTCTCGGTTATAAGAAGAGCACAGATCCACCACACTACATTAGTAAAGGTCGACGGGTTTTAACGACTACCTCCACTAAATTAAAGGTGAAAAACAAACTTAACGCGCTCTTCCTAGGCACGGGGTAACGCATCTCACAGGTTAAGAACCTGCAACCTGGTACTAGAAATTTCGCCCTCCCATTTAAAACCTCAGTGGACCTCAATAACAAATGTTGTTGGGACCACAGTGGACTCCCTTTGCCCCAGTAGACATAGAATATTGAGCCCAGTCACGGTTTCAATAGACCAAGAAGACCATTACCGGGACACTAATAGACCAACATGCTGATAATTAGTTACTAAAGTTGCTTCTCGCTATAATAATTCGTGTTTTGAACTTTAGTTTGTTACACGAATCTTGTTTTAACCGTCTTATTGTACAACTCCCACGGCATTGTAGCTTTACTTTAAAATAATCCGGGCTTATATTTAATAAGAATAGATGACAAATTATGATTACCAAGTGGTGCTTAGAGTCCTGTAGCTAACTTTATATGTATCAAGTTTGTATCAGTTGGAATTGGAAATCTAGGTGTTACTACAAAAAAGGCACTTTGTAAATTGAATAAGACTCGGAAATTTAAACGCTACTTTTGAGCTGTTCGGCTGTCTGAGAAATTATTATCGATGCTTTGCCGTCACGGGAGGATTGATTCAACACATACTAAACGTCCTTCGACTAAGCGAAGGCAAAACGACGAGAATGATTTCTCAATTACGACGGCCGAATAAATCTACAGTCCACTAGTCTTGACTGAGTCTCATATTGTGTTGTAGTAAGACAGTAGATTTTTCAGTACGTATGTATTAGTTTCAGGAATCTTCGATCTTATTAGTTTAACATTTTGTTTTGTCGCTTATCATGTGGGTTTTTTTAATAGCATGTAATAAATTGTTTAGTAGAGCCAGCGGAATACTCATGGCCATTGTCACTTTTTTATTACTTATCTTACAGTTTTCAAATTCTACAGTAAAGTTATAGTAGTCTTTATATGTGCAACGCCATAATTATATTGCTTAAACACTTTTACACGTTTTAAATTCCACGGCTGTCGTAGTTAAAAATAAATTAACTAATATTTCGCATTTGAAACCGTTAAAAGTGTTTTATAATTACATAATAGAAATGAAAACTGCAGGATCACAGGTAGAGCCATGTAAAGACCGCTGAATTAGATATTTGCCGATAAATCGAATACTTTTGTTAATTTTAACCTCATTATGGTCGGGTGTTTGTCATGTGGGTCTTCACTCATTATTCAAACCATCATACTTCCCACGAAATATTGGGTATCAGTTTACGGGTACATACTGTCTGAAAGGGTGCGCACATTTGGATGCACACAAACTTACATTAGTACTTAGTTTATTTGGTATCAATATTCGATACTTGCTCATGTTCTATTTAAATATGTAAGATTCAATTAAATCCCACCGCAGCATGTTTAACCTTTAGTCAAATTTTACAACAGATACCCAGCTTAGGCCCGTTCTGCCTTCAAATGATCTCGCTGTGCGTCGCCGGACAGTTTTACTTTATCGCCAATTTTCTGTCGGCGTTCCGTGCCGGGGGCTGCGGCAAAAACGGATCCACGGTTGCCGTAAGGCTCTCAAAATTCATATCTAAAAGGTTTCGGTTTAAGCTTTGCGAGCGATTAATCAGACGATAGCTTCTTATATCGTTGTAATCTAAAAACTGACAATACCTACTATATCGACAGTCGAGCAATCCACGCGCGATCCGCGACTGGGCAAATGAGTGAAGATGTCACGCACCCGTAAAGCGTAACGCGACGTTACACTAGCTATAATGGCATGTGTTTTTTTTTTATTTTCGACGCTGTCACCGCCGGACCTAACTCGCATGTCGCCGAACCGAATGTAAACAGCTTCCGACGATAAACATCAGCGTTAACTTGCTGTCTAATTACTTCGTCGTGCTCCTCAACGTATACCTGGTCTTCGGGTACATTAAGGTCATAATGCGCGGCGGAGTTGGGAAAAACGGCTCCACGGTCGCAGTAAGAGTTTGATATATAAGCATTCTGCCGTTTGTGGCGGCACGCGTTGCGCTATGAAGCCACCTCGCATAACGCATGCATCAAAAATGTGGAACGTGCTACACAGATTTCCGTCTTAACATTTGTGGCTAACGTGTGTCCTTCGAGTAGACAGGTGATCTTTCGGAAGAACACTCGAGTGCTATTTGGGCTTTTGAGCGTCCGTCATAATTGGTTTTCGACGTTTCGGAAATTTCGACGATTCCCTGAGACAATGTGTCTGCCGAACAGCTCAAAACTCCAATAGCTTCGCAGGATGTCCAAAAATGGCTGATAAATAGTTTATATAACATTCAGAAAAGTACAACTTAATTTGTTTGTTGATTGAGTAACAACTGGCCACTGCGGCTCGCTGGTCGCTAAACGCTTCGGCGAACGCCGTGGCCAGGTATTCTAGTGATTATAGAAATAAAAACTTGCAACTCAAGTGTTCTTTTGAAAGCGGCGAGTTCTCGCTACGCCTTGCATGCCTGGCTTGTTAGCTTTTTAAGTTGAATTAGTTTAAACGAATGTCTCATAATAATCGATGTTCACTGCATTTTGTATTCTTGAATGGATTTTGCACTTGGTATCGTAAGGGTCGTCGAGTGTGTATTCAGATGTCGCATGTAACAGGATTTTGATAAGATCGAATATAAGAAACTAAACAAGCGACTTCTTAACACGCACTTTTTGCTCGTTTTGGGCTTTTCGGGTGTTGTGAAAACAGGGTTTTGAGTTCAAAATTACAGCGAGCATATCCTTAGGGCACCAGTATCCTGACGCCCGTGTTCCCCTTCGCGTTCGTTGTGGTGCCAGCCTTCATCATCTTCCAGAAGAGTGAGTCTCAGGTCTACGAGAATCATCCCGCTCTTTATATCCTGGCTTTCGGAATGGTTGCAGCTAAAGTCACCAATCGTCTTGTGGTGAGTGTTTCATTTTATTATTTCAAAACACACATAGATATGCATAATTCAAGTATTAAATACTACTACCCGTTTGAAAAGTGTTAACTATTTAAAAAAAAACACTTTAACGGTTTAAAACGCGTAATATATTAGTAAATATTCATTAGTATTCATATCAATAAAAATCGATTATTAATATAATAAATTTAAAAATATTACGACTCGGGCGGGACTTCATAGCGTTCCGTTTTTATTTATTGCTTTCAATTTTAAATAAATAATTTTTATTTTATATAGTGGCGTCATGTGGAATGGATGTGTAAACTAGTAAATAAACAAGAACAGATCATGTTTCGACAAGTTTTTTTACGACAGGAACTATAAGTATAAATTTGTATATACTATGTTCCAGGTTGCCCATATGACAAAGAGTGAAATGGATTATTACGATTGGTCGCTGTTGGGACCAGCGATGCTCTTTCTGAACCAGTACTTCAACAATGCTTTACCAGAATACTACGTTCTCTGGTTATGTACTGTAAGTAGTCGAATTTCTTATATATAACTGGTACTGGGATATACAAGTTCTTATTTACACCAAGATGCTATAAACTTCATAATATAGGTGCGTTCACCAAATACGAGAAACATTTTGTAAATTTTGGGCCTCGAATTTGTTTTTTGACCTTTTTAAGTGAATCGTTGAGTCATAAATATATGAAAATTATCTTTTCCAGGTGTGGGTAGTTGTAGAACTAATCCGTTACTGCGGACAGATCTGCCTCGAGATCTGCGATCATCTCAAGATCCAATTGTTCCGCATTACTCCGGTGTCAGCGCCAATAACGACGGCCGCTGCTGCGCCGGCACCGACTCGACACAAGCAGCCCGACAGAAATGGTACGAATCGGCGGCCCGCACCGACCACCAGACGACCGCTGCCCACTTAGCGCTCTTTTGTTACCTTATTGTTAAGTGTTAAATATAATATCAGCCACGCAAATGACTTTCATTGGCTACTTGGCTGTTCGGGCTTGAAACATCGGCATGTCACTCCTATAACAAATTGGAAAGTAATCTATCAATTTTATTCCCTCTGTGCAGTTTGATGACCACACATCTATACTAAATATAAATTGATGTAAAATGATTCTGTGTAAAAAAAGAAGAAAATATAGCATAACGTTCTAGTCCTTCGAGCCGGATATATTATGTATATTAAGTACAGTTTCAATTAGCAAAACAACTTCTAGATGTACTGTGAAAGTCTTGAGCATTTCGACTGTGTGAAAGTAATTAATATAGCTGATGTTTCAAGTTTAGCCGTTGTTTTGTTATAACTTATTCTCGTAAAATTTTTGAGACGCACACGACGTGGATACGTTAAATATTTTTCTTTATTGCCCGCAGTTACTGAGTTGCTTGATTTATTTGAAAATCACTACCAAATATGGGAATAACAGATTAATTGGCTTTTAGATCGCGAACACATTGCGGGTAGTTATGAAATATACATAGGAAACTTTGGGCAGTAAGTTGTTTTGGTGTCGTTTTATACGTATTTTGTTGCATGTCAAAATATGCGAGCCAAGTATTAAAGTATAGGGAAGTGACTTAATTACCGTTTAGGGAGTAGTTGTTCAAATTTAAATGTTTTCAACGATTAATGTTTGACGATATTTTTATATGCATACACGTAACTTTCAGTAATGTATTTTGACATGAGACAAATAATTGAAAGTATCCGTCGCTATATCACAATATACGTGGGCAGTTCAAGTATAACGTAAGCAACCCCCCCCCCGGCCCCTCCCCGCCCCTCCTGCCACTAAGCTTAATAAACATTTTAATGTAATTATTCCAATTTGTGTTTCTAGCCTTATTATGAAGTAAAATATATTTTACAAATAATAAAATAAATTACATTTTTTATTAAAATTTAAACATTTCAACATACAAAACAAGAACCTTAGGTTAATGATGACGTAATCACCATCTAGCCCCCTATGAGATGCAAATCAGACCCCTTGCCCTTCCTTATGTAATACTTAAACTGCCCCATATTTACAATAAGGTATAAAGCTAGTTATGTAATAGAGAAAATTTTGACCACTTGCAAATTGTGAGTGTCCTACTAATATACCTTTTCCTTATACTTATCTGGTGTTGGCTAACTACATTTTAATGTACGTATTATTTCTAGTAACATCTATTCACTATGTAAGTCATGCTATATCTGAACTTCTCAATTAAATATAAATATATATATTTATCAAAATTCTTGGGTGTACGTTTAGCCTTATATCTTCGATTGAGCTAAAATTTGATATATTTATGTATTTTGATACGCTGGTCAAGAATATATAATACTCGCAAAGCTTAGTGGGCGGGGCAAAGTCCATTGCATTAAAACCAGATGCATACCAAAATAATAATAAACCCTTTGTGAAACAAAGAAATAAAATACATTTTTTTTTAAGTTATTACATAAAAAATCTAAATGCGTCTAATTGTATTGAATTCGGTGAGTTACATTAAGTATTGATTCGTTTTAAATGTTAAGAAAAAACATATAGAACAGAAATATCAATATTTTAACTTAGTTTGAAACACGTTTCTTTAAAATGAAATTTTTTCTAAGTGAACGCCAAAAACATTTGAAAAATTATGGTTTATTTTTCAAGGTCAGTGCGTCTAAATATAGTATACCATATAAATAAAACACTTTAACGTCGGTTCGGTTTGCAGCAGTCGTGGTCTCCCCGTGACTACGGCAGCTGCAAAGCATCCGAAACGTCGGGCCGAAGTTAAAAATCATTTTCAAATAAGTTTAACTAATATATCGCGTCTTAAACCGTTAAAGTGTTTTATTTAAATGTGTACTACTCGCGTAAACTTTAGACAGTATTTAGTATACCATATTTTAGCTCAATTGGAGGGATTAAACGGAGCTTTACCTAAATTGTTTCCCTCATATTTAACAATATTTGTCATCTTTATAGCTAATCCTATATCTCTGGAATCACACAGTATTTGCTCAGTACGGCAAGCGCTAAATAGAACAATTTAGTTGTGTAATGTATATAACATGCGTAATTGTCAAATATATGTATATGTATATTCTACCATTGTTTTATTGCTAGCTTTCGACCGCCTCATTGCATAATTAAGACTAGGGTTCGAATCCCGTGAAGACAACTTGCCTATATAAAAATTGATAAAAAATGCACTTTAGTAATTTAAGTCTAAGCTACAAAGTCAAGTGACGTAGTCAGACTGAATGGCTTAGAACTTAAGCTAATATTTTTTTCTAAAATGTTAGCTTTTTAAGGAATATCTGAATAAAATTTTCTGATTTTCTCAATATTTAACAATAATACATTTTAAAGTTCTATGTGATGTTACTATACTTTTTATTGAGACCAATATATTTTAAATTTCCCCTATATAAAGCTTATATTTTGGAATCAAGGTTAGTTATTCCGCTTCTATTCGTATCATTGCTATTATCTATATCTTAATGTATACTAGATTAGATTTCTTCATAGATAATATAATTTTCTTTATATATTCATTTACTTATTTTTCTAACCTCAATAATTAACCCTGCTTATGTTATAACCTACAAAATGTTTTACTTTTTAATTTTGTTTGCAGTGTCGAGTGATAGTGACAGATCAGAAAGCGAAGACACCGCACCGTTAATAAACAATAGTAGTTAACTCAGTATTTCAAACCATAGGATACCTTGACTGACGTAATCCTCTTGGAATTATAATATAATTTTTTTACCATTTTTTACTCGATCTAATTTTGTGAACAAATATTAGATAGAACTAACGAGCTGTTCAAAAATATCACAATTCTCTATGGAAACTATATAATTTACTCAATATTAAATATTTTTGAATCTACCAAATTCAAGACCACGGCTGCTAAATATTTTCCCCATTCATCGGGAACCAGTCAAGAAGCTGGCAACACAATTGTGTACGCACGCTAACATCTGTGCGTTGTTTTACACATACAATATTGAGTTTGCCGTTTAGGTATTTATTGTTCTTTACACCTACCGCTTGAAGATCTATTCTTTCTAAGATCGATCGATCTTTTCATTGGGGTTGAAAAAGTGGGGGAGGTAGGGGGTTTTGATACAACTTCTAATACACATAAAGTTAATTTCAATAGTAAGACCTTAAATGTTAACCGTTCACGAACAGAAATAAGATTAAATACTGTCTATAGTTTACGCGAGTAGTACACATTTAAATAAAACACTTTAACGGTTTAAAACGCGATATGTTAGTTGAACTTATTTGAAAATGATTTTTAATAATAACTAACATATCGCGTTTTAAACTGTTAAAGTGTTTTATTTAAATAAGAAATAAGATTCTTAACTCATTACATAGTTTAAAATGCATTTTGTACAAGGGTTACAATCTAACCGTTAAATTATTTAACACTAAGTGCCTTGTAGGAGAATAAACATGTGTTTTGGCTCTGAAGAAAGTATTATGTTATACTTAGTTATTTTAAATTGCGTGTTGAGTATAAGCTTTTACCATCTGTAAGGTTAATTTTATTCCTATATATATTGTTGTACAATACAACGAATTTACTTTCAGTTTGATTTACAATCACAATATTTATGTTATTTTAAGTTGGTTTAAGAGTTTTTCTACAAAGAAATGGTTGGTTTTGCTTGTTTTTCACTGAGGAGACAAATGATTTGGGAATTTGTTAATAAATACTCTGTACTTTTTATTGTCTTTTATTAAATATACCTTATTAAATATACATAGAAATACATACAAAGAAAGACACCTGGTCCATAATAACGAGGCTTAGAAGCTGCTGGACCAAGCCAAGGTCCAAGGGGCTAAAAAAGGAACAAATTCAATCATGGCATTTTTTCATTCAGATCTGAGTGTTGTTTTACACAGTTGAACAAGCTGTGAAGTGTTAATCTGTGTTTCAGTGTCACTCTTAATTTTCTGTACGTGTATTTTAGTTTCCTACAAAATAACCACGTGCTTGTCTGTCCTCTATAGTACAAATGTCATAATTCTCCTAATCGAAATCACAATTCTATGAACTGTTTATAACCAAATCTATATTAAAAAGACATGCTTTTTCAAACAGACTAGTTTCCCGAAATGGATGAAATCCCCCTTTTAACATCTAAATAAGCGATGTCGACCTTACCGTTGTATATTTATTAATTGATTAGAAACGCGTTGGACCCACATAATAACGGGTCGAATCAACGATCCGTTGATCAGGACCCAATCATTGCAATCATCACCAACGAGCTCGTCAAAAATTTAACGGTTTAAAACGCGATATATACAAATTAAAAACGCTACCATACTAAATAATATATACAGTACATCTACACTACTATTTCTACTATTATTATAAAGCTGAAAAGTTTGTTTGTTTGTTTCAACGCGCTAATCTCAGGAACTACTCGTTCGAGTTGAAAAATTCTTCTTTTGTGTTGGTTAGAACATTTACCAACAGTGGGAAATGTAAAAAAAAAACTGTAATTATTCATCGTTGCGAAAACGCAAAAACGCGAAATTGCGAAAACGGCACAAGATAACCAAAAAATATGTATAAAGAAATGCTTGCTTTAAATGATCTAAAACAAATTCTGCGACAGTCATATACACGACACGAAATATATAGTCTATCTTTTAAGACTAACTAGCTAACACGACGGGATGAGAAAATCGTCGTGGGTAAGAGATTAAATTTATAGAGATGTTTGCAAAAACAAATTTTGATGCATCAAAAAGTAATTTAAAAAGCAATCACAAATTTTGTTGCCATTACTAATGAAAAATAACTATGTATGGCTGACATTGTCGCCGGCGCAGCTAGTATAACATAATAACTGTATAATATTTATATTAGTAATAATGTTTAATAGGCAAATAACGTCTTCCTTCCTTCATATTGAAGTTAATAATCGAAGCGATAACGTCCACTATCAAAGCAATTAGTTCAGACTTTGACCGCAGTGCGGCGCGTTCAACCGAATGTTGCAACGCCATGCGTCTGTTTACTAAACCCAATTTTTGTAGAAATAATTATGATTCCCTTAAGGACTGTGCGTGAAGGTTATGAAGAATTGGATCATGAAGGTCAGTCGCCATTTTATTGAATTACCTCCCTCGATATCGTTTAACCACAATTGTATTTGTTTCCTAGCTCTGTAGTAGATTGTTGATATAAATAACTATATCAATGTAGGTACCTACAGATTTTAAAAAACGCATTCGTCTATTCGTGACGATGATCACTTTTGTAACGGTCGATCCGACTGACTGAACACAGTCTGAGTCTTTGACCGAGATAACACTGTGACAACATTTGATAAGTATATATGTATATGTTACAATTAAACCAGCTGACGCTGCTAAAAGCAGTTAACAATGAATTCTGATTTAATGAAATTATACCTTAGCAGTTTAAAACACAATATATATTACTTAATAATTTTCAAATAAGTTTAACCAATCGAGATGTCCTAATCTATATATCGCGTTTTTAACCATAAAAGTGTTATTTAAATGTGTAATACTCGCGTTAATTACAGACAGTATTTGCTTAACCAATCGAGACGTCCTCGGTTTGGATTCTTGGGAAACGACTTTCGGTTTGAACACGAAAAAGTCTTCAAATGAAATAGACACAGATATATGTTTGTTCAAAACCGTACTATTACATTATCTTCAATAAAATAAACACATTACCCAACCTAACACAGATAATGAATTTTTAATCTTGAAGAATATCAAATCAATTTGTTAACATTTAAATTGACATATAATCATTACAGCTGAAGAAGAAAGGTGGAGAATCATCACAAATGTGACATCAGCAACACGTCGCATGCTGCAGCGGCTTCAAAACTACTTGCTGCCTTGGAGAAGTGTGGGTATGTTTGACTTAGATAAACAATATCGCCAACGCGAATGAAAGATTGTATTTGTGATAAGACGTGAGAATGCCCCTAATATATGTTATTTACATTATAAACGTTACGTTATAGCATCTCTATGGCTCAATGATTAAATTGCGTTAAACATTGTACTAGAGGTTTGAATCCTGAAGCACAACAACTTGACAAGACACAGATAGGTCGCAATGTCAATAAACAAAATGGCTTGACAAGTTTTGTTTAACCTAAAACTGAAACTTTTTCTTGTATCCAAAATAGAGGATATGGGTTTTCCACTATCTACACTATACATCAGAAACACAACACGTAGTGTACTTATGAATCTATACTAAGATTATATAGCTGAAGAGTTTGTTTGAACGCGCTATTCCCAGTAACTGCTGGTTTGTATTAAAAATATCCTTTTGTATTGATTGGAGCATTAATTGAGGAAGGCTTAAGGTAATAAAACATAGAGCGACTGTTAAGAGCGCAAAAATAGTCGGTTATGTGGAAAAACCAGAAAAAGTAGTCATATTTGAGGGCTTCCGTTGCGCGCGCTGCGATGCGTTCGTTTAAGTTACCTCATAAGTAAATTTTAAATAATCTAAAAAAATGTCCTGATGGACAGTATATGTCTATCTTTTAAGATTATCTCACAATAACAGTTTTTATGGGAAACGTACTTTGGTCAAAATACTTCATAGGCAAAAGAACGTATGCCTGGTCTGCAAGTCAAAGATACAAACGTACTTGAGTCCTGTATAATTGATAGCTCAGGCATTTAGCCTAAGGTACAGTGATCTAGGTATCAACTATCTACTGTCACGAGAAATCGGAGCGTTGATACTTTTAAACCAGACGTCAATTTTAGTTCGATTAGTCTATATATTAAATACTGTCTGTAGTACGCGAGTGGTACAAATTGAAATAAAACACTTTAACGGTATAAAACGCGATATATTTTAGTTAAACTTGTTTGAAAATTATTTTTGACAATATATTTTTAATTTTTTGATCAAGTACCTAATAAAAACAAAACTGAAAACCGGAAAATCTGTTGTTCCATGAACAGCTGAGTGATGTCCACGGTAAATTATGTATTAATGAATTTTTCTTAATGCCTTTAATTTTAATCCATTTATTTTTTTATTTGTAATATTATTATTATGTATGATTTCCAACTTGAATTTTAATATTAGATTATTTGACGGGCTTGTTAATCTAATAGTAACAATGTATTGCTAATAACGCTCGGGTCGTCGGTTCGATGCCCACTGGGTCCGTAATCAATTTCAATTGTTTTTTAAACTTGTTGGACTTTGCCTACAAAATCTAGACAATAAAGGGGGGGTAGAAATACCGAAATTCGGCCCGGGGTCACGAACCACCTTCTAAAAATTGAAAAGTCGCGAAGTTTTGTATCAGAGTCTAGGTTTTTCTAATGTGCAAAGCCAAAATAAATCGACAGCTCATCTTCACAAATGGTGGATTACACATCCTAACAAATAAATCCTTTGCTTTTATACCCTACAGTATCTCGTTTTAATACACGCCCTCGACCACCGCCTTACCTGTGCTATCTTTGACATGTATCGATCTGTCCTCTAACCCTTAATTAGTTTTACATTAGGAAAACATTACTAAACTTTTTTCATAATGTTTTTTCATAATGTATTTAGTAAACCTTATTGTTTTTGATGTCACTTATCAAATTTAGGTCTAATAGTCGCAAACTAAATTATTCCTTTATTGTTTTTATCACTGTAC